AATGGTTTGTAGCACGTAAGAGCGTGTGCAGTAAGAAGTCCCAATGACCGTCCACATCGAGTTGAGGGTGAACATCCCAAACCACCTGCTGTAGATAGTCGTGTAGAGCTGGCACATTCAACCGTTTAAAATTCCAACGCAAGTTATTGGTGGGGTATCTTAGCTTAGTTTTGCTGGCAAAACTGAAGGCTATGACGGCATGATCGCTTTTTCCCAAGGGAGCCAGGATTGACAGGTTGTCAACTAGAAATTCTTCGTTTGTGAATACACAGTCTAAGCGCGATGGTGTCTGACTGTTTCTCCAACGAGTTGCCGACCTCACATTTTCGTATAATCACAAGTCATCGATGAGGTTGAAGAACCGAGCTTCAATTGAGTTGTCGCCTCCAGTATACGTGTGTTCCGCAAAGTTGACTCTAGGGAGATTAAAGTCCCCTAGAATCAGGATGTGTGTGAGACCGAGACGAGTAGAGCGGGATAGTCCTTCCAGCATACGACTATCGTACTCGATGTCGGCAGTTGGCTTCCTGTAAATGAATCCGACTAGACACCTCGAAGTAATGGACAAACTTACAGCGCACCAAGAATAATTGACTTGTTCGACGTTCAGCTACCCGATTTCCAAATGATCTGGCTAGGGCCCAGTGACATTTCACTGGCCTTACAGTCGTGTTTTGAAGAAAGTTGAATAAATTGAGAGAACTCTGTTACCATGAACAACACAGACCATACAGCTCCCGGTCCTTTCAAAAGCGAAACTAAGGCTGGAATAGAAAGCGATCAGTAGTTGCTAGTTCTACATATCTAAAAGTAAATCCGAAATTATGACAAGAGGCAGGTGACTCCAAAAATATGGTATCCAGTTCAGGATATTGACGTATGACTAATCATGGTGACACTGATAGGCACAAGCTACGTATATTTTTCGCCGGTATATTATAAAATTGTTGATGCGAGAGCGAATGAAGCGAGGAGGAGGTGCAATTTAAGCTGCATATGTAGTTATTGGACAATAATCAATACAACACAGGAAACGCTGCAGAAGAAAATCTAATACGACCTAAACAACACACCATGGCCAATAAAATTTTTTTACGAAATAAACGAAATTATGAGAACTCTAAATACTGACTAAAATACTATTTACAAATTAGGTTTTCTGTAACGACACGAGATTGAATATCTGGAGGAACGGTTTTTAAGCAACCTACGCTACTATGTATGTTAGTGAGATTTTTTTGGGGACTTGCTGAATGCATTTATTTCAATGTCTTTAGGGTTGCTATGTTTAAGAATTTATCAAACGTTCAGTCTAGTTGCACTACTGTGGTATAAGTAAGGTTTCAAGGCGAATTTTATTATTTGCGAGCCTGGTCTTGGTGCATATCATACTAGCTAGTTTGAGTAGTAAACTGCTTTATTATTCACGTATTCGTATTTAGTTCAAAATTATTCTGGTCAGAACACACAAAGAGTATAATGAGTAGCTTTATCAATTTCGATAGAATGGGACGCTGGGGATACGAACCTATCTTGTATTAAAGGTTAGTCTAAACCTCGCTTTTCTACAAACAATTGTCGGTATAAATATGGCAAAAACTAGTTCGAAAGAACATGTTGACGTACGTAATTATGAATAAGGCAGATATAGTAATATTGGTTCATCATTATATATTGTCTCACGACTGTGTCTGAAAATTCGATTTCATTCCTTTAGGTATTTCCGTCGAGTTCAATCTGTCAACAACTGACTAGATAGATCTCTCTACTGTTTACAAAGTTATTTTGCCTCGGCTTCACGAAACTGTGTGACTAGTTTTTAGGTGGAAGGTAAGAATTCAGTGAGCAATTATTTTTCGAAAAAATCGACTGTGGTTACACAGCAGATGGAATGCTTCTGCATCTTTATATCATGGGTCACTGATGTGGCGTATGTACCACATAACTTCGCGGGCAGGCCTACCAGGGAGATTACTCGAGGCAAACTCTGATAAATTTTGTTTCTTCCAAAGCTAGAAGTTTGATAGATTATATTTTCTTCGTAAGGTGGTGACTTGAAACGTTTCCAATCATTTTTGTTTCGGGAATTCAGGTTTCCGTTCCATCGTATGAAGGATTTTATCTGCGGCTAATGGTTTAAAGTAGGACACTATCGTTTGTTTTTGTCCATTGGTTTGCAAATTGTTTGGTTAGCACACTCAGTCTAGCGGTACTGATTAGTTTGGCTTCTTATCTCACCATTCTGTCCATCCTGTAAGATACCAAAGTGTTTGAGCCTATATAAGCACTCCGAATTGACAAGGGGGTTATATAGGCGGAAAAAAAAATCAAAGATGGGCTCGTTATTTTCTCGGAAGTTAGTTGTTTCTCTTCTCGAAGTCGTACTAGGTTATATGGTCCCTTGGAACAGAGATAAGTCTGTCAATGTGACTATTTTCGTGTTTAGACCTTGATCACTATGTAGGTGTCTGACAGTATATTACTATATGGCCTTCTGTTCATACCTAGACAGTGTATAAAACCCACTAAATTTTATGAATATTACTGTTACTGACACTAACACATCTATTGCCATAGTATTCAGTGTCAGTCAGCTACAACGTAGAATCAGGCACATATATTCATTGGTACAAGTTGCCATACCTCATTAGCACAACAAGATGAATACCGAATTCATAAAGTAGTTACTTCAATGGTAGTAATATATAAAAGAAAGATTGCATATAAGGATATAGTACAGGGAGAAAGGATTAGTTGGTAGAAAGAAAGATATAAAGCAATTTTAACCTCATAGTGTAAGGGAAGACAGAGAGTGCATACACCTACGCCATTGTGACCGATTCTGAGCCATGTCACCCAGAGTCTCCAATCATTGGTTACGATAGTCACGCGGATCCCAACCAAGTAGTCTGCATCTACCAACATGGCTAAGACTAGAAGTTAGTGACTTCAAGCACTGATGTCACGTTTTGGTTTGACCGTCCCTAACTTTCTTTCAACCATCCCCAACACTAGTCAGCATTACGCGTGGTGGTAATCGGTGTTCAGGCATACGTAACACGTGGCCCAACCATCTCAGTCTATGAAGATTTACAACCTCATCAACTGATTTACCATCATTCCTTAATACCCCGCATGTAACCTCACCATTACTTACCCGGTGATCCCAGCAGATGCGAGCAATATCTCTAAGACAACTGTGATCGAATACTAGTAACTTAACTCGAACTGATGTACATACGTACGAAGTTCTACGTTGTTACTGACTGACTGACTGCTGACTGAACTTACGAGTATCCTTAACGGCCAAGTTTCCCAGCCGTGAATTATATTCATCTCTTAATTGACCGATGGAGATCTCGCCTTCTCTATAGATGACGTAAGTTGGCAAAAGCCAAACGATTCCATGCAGAGATTTCGTCGGACACAAACCCATTAGGGTTGATCAGACTTCAAAGATAAGTGAAGTTGTCGATGCGTTCAACTACTTCACCCCCTATCCTTAGTTCAGGTATTGACGCAGACCAGTCCTGAAGCAACAACGTGCGTTTAGAGGGGGAGGAGCGCAACCCAAACATCCTGGCATTGTTGCTCAGTCCTACCAAAAGACTGCATTTTATTAGCGTCTTCACCAAACACAACTATTTCATCTGCGTATTCTAAGTCGATAAGTGGACCTCCCGGTAGGAGATCAATGCCTGAAAATTCAATCGACGAGAGCGTTGTTTCCATCTGTAGGTCTATGATGAAGTTAAATAAAAATGGAGAAAGTGGACAGCCCTGCCGGACACCATTTGAGGCTGCAAAATCAGATGACAGTTCGTCATAAGCTCTGACTCGACTATTGGTGTTCGAGTAAAGAGCCTTCACAAGGTTTATGTACTTCTGAGGTACACCTTTTAATGACAGACACTGCCACAGGACCTCTCGGTCTACAGAGTCAAATGCTGCTTTTAGGTCAAGAAACACTATAATTGTCGGATGCCGATAAGCATGCCTGTGTTCTAAAACCTGGCGAATAGTGAATATGTGGTCGATGCAGCGACAACCAGGTCTGAAGCAAGCCTGATTTTCTCGTGTCTGCAGTTCACGAGTCTTAGTTAGGCGTCCGATAATTATTGAGGCTAGTATTTTAGATGCTATGTTAATCAAACTAATCCCTCTATGGTTATCACAGGATGATTTTGACCCCTTTTTATATATTGGGACAATCAGTGATTGTGACCAATCAGATGGGATTACATCCAACTCCCAGATTTTAGCCAAAATATTAGTCAACCTAATCGCTAAAATTGGACCACCATCCTTAAAGACCTCTGTAGCCAATCCATCTGGACCAGCTGCCCTTCCTCGTTTCAGATTATCTATAGCCTTTTGAACTTCAACTAGAGTCGGGGGACCTACTTCAATGTTCCATTCAGGCTGTCTGGAAATGGTGGGTAGTTGTAGAGTAGCTGGAGGCCAGCTGAACTGCTCCTTAAAATGTTCCGCCCATCGTTCTAAACGTCTGGACTGGGAGCAGATAAGATTGTCGTCTTTTTCCGAGATAGTCTCACTTACACTTGACTTATTAATCTTAGTTCCTTTTATTAGTCTGTAGAGCTGTCTTGTATTACCTACAGCCGCCACCTTTTCCATCTCTATGTGCTTTCGTTGCCCACCACCGCTGACGGTCGTTCCTTAGACTGTTGGTTAACCAAGATCTGATCTGCTTTCGCTCTTCATCGTGTTCAGATCCTGATGGGATGAGTTTACGAGAATCCATTAGTGCAATAGACTTAGAAGAAATCGATTGGTGTTTTGTGACCCTGTGGTTTAAATCACTGATAGATGTCACTGCTGTTTGTATATCTTTCCAAGCAACATCTGGGTCAGCCTCGTTTTCAAAACTACCTAAGTGTGACCTCAGTTGTTCCTGGAATCTACTTTCTGCTTTCTCGTCACTCAGTTCAATTCTAATGGGTCTTCTTAATGTGGATTTTCTGCGTCCGGTGAGGCGCAAGCAGATGCGTGCCCGTATTAGAGCATTATTAGAGTCCAAGCAGCAGTTTTATTTTTTCTACTCAACTTCGTCACTGAAAGCATTCTGTCTACGGGACGTTGGACGAAAATTTCAAAGGTGCAGTCTCGCTTTACAATTGATGCTTTAAAAAAGTGGAGAGCATATACTTTACACCAGTTTCAGTCACCCAAACTAAACGGTAACAAATCAGAAATTTGCGATATGATTAGACACAACTTGGAATAATCTAAATCTACATCATACAATAGTTCCTACATGTATTTTTATTGAACAATAAGCAGTGAAATTCTATATGGCTTATACTTATGGACTTGGTAACTAGTCAATCGTTAATCATGAACAGTGAAGGATTAGGCACAAATCTGTACCCAATAATGAAAATTCGTATTCGTTCTTTTTACTAAGTTTGCATCTGTTTGAAGTGCCACACTTTGCCCCCTTCATATTTTCTAGGAATTTAATACTTTCATTTTAGAATGTCAGGTCAAAGTAATAGAAACTAAGTGCAGAAAAATTCTTACTTTCTTCAGTCCATGGAAATCTCCTTTAATTTGACCAACAACTTACTTTATCTAAATACTTAGGGATAAGCTCAGCAATCAGCTGAGAACACGCTGGAGTCAATTCTGACGGCTTAAGAAGAACACTATTCCCAGCAGCGATTGCACCAATTAGAGGCTGAAATGATAAAATGAAGGGGAAGTTCCAAGGGCTTATTATTAAAACCACACCGTATGGCTGCTTTTGAATAGTTACTGTATCCATTAACGTGATGAATGACGATGGAACCTGGATAATGAATTACCCTTATAACATTCGATACATTACCGACTCCTCTTTCAACCATGAATCCATATTAGAGAGCATTGTTTTCGCTTCACCTACTGAAGGGTCTATATCCGTTAAAATAGATTCAGTTCGACACTATTTATAACATTTGTTTTGCGCACTATAATCGTTGGCTATGGTGACACTTAAGGAGGAAGCCAAAAGATGAAGTATAGAGTTGATAGTTGAGGTAGAAGTAATTATGGAAACTGGAGAAGGAAAATTGATTATGAATACGGCGGTCTTGATCGCTGTTAGAGGTATGAGGACGGTTATCACTTCTCGGTTGCCCAAACCGTGGAAGGGTTCTTCTAGAGGTACCTGCAAATGAAATCGGGTTGGAGTTGGTCTTGGTGACATGAAAGCGTGACCGCAGTGCCCAGGGGACAACTGCTTAAGGCGGGTCACACACGACCTTTTTGTGGGTAATTTTCGTGTTAGCTCTGTACTTGTTGAGACCTCACCGCCGGAGACGGATATCCGTGGGACAAGGCGATGTGTGCATTTTTAGGGTGAACGTTTTCTAACCCCATCCCTCCTTGTGGGAAGGCAGCATCGCTGTTATGTTGGTTGTCTGAAGGAAACACCTTACTGCCGTCACACCTCTGTACAGTCGGCAGTACGATTTCGCCTTCAGACCTTGGGTATACTGCTTTTAGTCTTACCGCTCCTCAACCGACCTGTTTGGCATGGTAGGACCTTGAGGAACGATTGTTCCAGCCAGTATAGCTTGATTAGTTCATCACGATAGGCAAGCTCGACCACCACGTCAAGGTAGCATCAACGGTCGTCAGTGCCGTAGTATTCACATTGGTGGTTTCATATCTTGTTGATGTGGTGTGGCAGCTTGGATCGAGAAAAATATGTTTTAGGTCTCACGTTGCTTTTAACTGACTGACATTTTTCTGGTTGGTTTTTATGTTTTCAAAACTCCTGCCTTAATTTTTTATCAAAAGCCGCTGTAGAACTAAAATATATGCGTTTCATTTGCACTAATAGTTGTATCGGATATTAATTGATCAATAGTAAGATAGTAACATACTCTAAATGTCTTTCAGTGATTAGAATTTTGGGAACGGTGTTGTAAATATTGGCAGATCTACTGATCTGGTTGTGATTACCAATTCTAGTCAGCCGCATCGGCTATACGTGTTCATATGTTTGTTCATCAAGCCTCCTTACCGGAGTGGTCGGTTTGTATACGATGGTACCCAAGACAGTTCCTTTTTTAGCTCATTCACCAAGTACGAGCCATACTCAGTGGGAGGGTTTGTGATACTACGCGGTTGCCCAAACTGAAGTAGGTAAAGCCAATTTCAAACCAGGAACTTAGAAGTGGGAAGTCGAGCCCTTGGATCGCGAAGCCACCCCTTAAAACAGTTACCATGTTATTAATAAATGTAGTAGCAAGTACTGAGAAGTTATAAACTCATTGTCTCTTATATTTGTATCTGTCCTAGTATACCAGTTAATCACATACAAGTATTCATCTGCGAAAAATTTGAAGGAATTTATTCGACAATCGCTTTGATATCAATCATGCATCAGCTTGCTAACGGGTGTACCTGTTTTTAAATGTCATCAAGAATGCGTAACTGAATAGTCTATACATACTCGGTTCTAAAGTAGGATCTTTGAGCACATTTCTGATACTAAACAGATTTTATATTTATTTCAGCAGTTAACGTTGTACTAAGTTGTAGATAGATTCGTTATGAAAGTAACATCCAACAGAAGTTTGGAAAAGGCTAATGAATATCTTCGGCATTGGACAGACTAGTGGTTGGATGAAGACCCATATTTTCAGTCTTCAAGCATAAGGAGGAAGCTTGTTGACCAAATTTCTACTATGACCACTAGCGATACTTCTGTTAAGTGTAAGTAATGGAAAATATGTGGATTATCGATAAAACTAACCGGTTAGTATTAAACTGTCACTGTAAAAGCGATGGATATGTTAGAACAGCTATCTTAGGGATAAGTCGCCTCTCAGTTGCAATCTAAATAACATATTAACATCCACGTACTAACTTTGACTGGAATAAAAATGACTATAATAATGACAAAATGGCACAATATACAATAAAGGAAACTAGCCTATTCGATCATTGCACTTTCCTTTTTCGGATTCACTTTTTAAAACTCAATTTATTTTTAGGGATTGTCAGCCTTTGAACTACATTAAATATGCTTCTCCAGAAGCTTGGTACTTTAACTGGTGTTATCTCCCGTATAATTCGATACGTGATAATGTTGGGTGCTCCGATGTGAGCTCGAAAAGATGGTTTTAGAAGGTAAAGGGATATTATCGTAGTTTCATTCGCGAGTGTGATATCCTGAATTGCTAAACATACCGTACGAATTAAAGTTGTTTACAACTATGGAGAGTTGGATCTGAAATCGTCCCTACTACCTTTTCAGTGTAATATTGTCTTAAGCAATATGTACATAAATTTGATGGGCGTGTTATAAAATTGCTATTCAGCTAGTTTCACGCACCGAAAAAGAAATCTGTTGCGCAAACAATAATGTATCATAATTGCGTGATTAATCATGATCGTAAGACTATTTATATCAACATTTCTGGAAGTCTCTTTAGCAAACTAAACTTTCAAAGTATTTTATGTCGTATCATGTTATTCTTACCAGATAATTTTGCTACAACGATCCATAAGTGCAACTGATGCAAGTGTAATCAAACCGTAATTATGGGACATATTACTGAGTCTTTTTTTGCTGTACGACTGGTGTGAAAGTAGCAATTAAACAATCTGGCATTACTAAATATATCTTCCTGCTCCTAAAAACTATTTTTACATCTCAACTCAGTATAACGTTCAAGCACATTGGTGTCCAAAATTATCTAGCTCTGACTTAATAGTCTAGATATTCAGCTAACAGATTATTGTTCAGATCCTACATCTTTCTGGTTTGGTAAGTAAAGTAACTGCCCTTCAGTGTAGTGAGCGATCGTATATAGTTAGCCCAGTAATAGTTGGTACTTTGTTGTGATAATCAGGGTTGACTGTCGTGACGAATCAGTCGGGCTGCGCCGAGAGTGGGGAGTCAGCTCTTCCTCTCGAAATGTTCTCACATGGCTACGCGTATACAACCACTGCAAGGGAAGTCCTACTCACTACCTTCTCGTGAGGGGGGTGTTGTTTACGAAACTGAGAGGATGAAAAGCGAATGTCTGGCGCTTTAATCGGGTTGGTGGGTATGGAGAGTCCACCTAGGGGAATTGAAAAACCCTGATTCCAAACCAATGGTGCCTATGGGCTCCAGGATCCAAAGAGAACAAATGGTATTGATTACCGACTACCATGGGACTGCATCTCCTAATATTGCCCCACTGTCTTGTGGATTAATCCTGTAGGTCAAAGGCTCGGGGAGCGAAGCCTGAAGGAAACCATCTGCTTTGTTTTTGGCTCTTGGGAAGTATTTCAGACCTATTACAAGTCGAATGACCTGTGGCGCATATATATTTGGCGCCTTCTTGTACCAATGTGTTTAAATAGATGGTTTAAAGTAAGCACTGTGTTTACTACTAGATTAGGAAATATATTGTGACAGCTGCTTTTTTACTTGGGATTGCCCAAAAGCATTTATCAACAACGAGGTTTCATGTGTTATATAGCTTGAGTTGAAACGGCTTTCCGTTTATTTAGTGATGGATATGGAACTCAATTCATTGACTTAAACACATCTTTTTATATTTCATTTGACTGTTTTCTCATAAGTAGCAAAGTAGTGAACTTATAGGACCAGGTAATATATGTAATATTCGTCAGGTTAGTTTTTCAGCTGTTCATTAAGTCTACGCGGTTTTAAATATTTCGAGCTCTATTCAAAACCTATCACGTTCTGTACCATTATTCCCGATGGCCTGTTTTCAGATGAAGGTTTTGCACGAATTCAGGAAGGTTGATTGGTCTTTGCTAACTTGCATCACTCGTACCGTAGGTTAGACGTCCGTTTATCAACCAAAGGACGGGTTGCATTTCGCTCTGTCCAACTTTATGTGTGTGTGTGTAGCGCAACCACTAAGGATCGAGGATATTCGTAGACTACTAGTATTTGCCCATATATGTCTCCAAAGCACCCCTCGTGTATTTTAAGAATGCCTGGTTTAGGATACTGGGTTAAATATGGCAAATCGATTGATCCTGTAGTCTCCGTCAACTGAGGTGGCTGGGACGTGTATTACATATCCTTACCTCGACGGGGGATGTCTAGTGTAGGGGTAGGTTGGAAGAAAGCTAGGAGCATTCAAAACAAGACATAGCACCAATCCATGAAGTTAGTTGTACTGGGCCATGTTAATGGGTGTAGGCTACCGGGCTGGGTGCAAAGTGTTTACCACAATTAATGGTTAGAGACTGAATGGCATTTCTAGGAATCGTTTGCAATGCTACGTTTACATTCGCTCCTTGTTTTTAGGACCTAAGTCCCCAAATCTTATTACTATTTTTCTTTTTCTATGCCTAGTCTTTTCTGTCAATGCTGATACTGTTACTACTTCTACTACTCTCGAATTTACTTTGATACGATTTGATCTCATTGTGCTGATGTGGCAAGGTAGCTTAAAACTATGCACATGTGTCAGCTTCTACGTTGCATATGACTCACTGACTCGAAAATTTAGTTCTAAACGTTTTTTCAACTAGAGAAAATGAATGTTCAAACTCAAGACTTGACAGTAATTGAAGTAAATGAGTAGTAGCCTTAGTTGTTTGAACGAAAATAATCTGGTAGCTGGATTTTGAGCTATCAGCATGACAACTGCTTAAAGGTATTTGGTAACAGTTTTAAGTGTATGATGGTATCGTAAATACACTTACAAGTAAACAAACCCTAAGTAACCTACTTTTCTGTTCTTATATATCTATTGCTTTATGCCAGTCAGTCAGTAAGGTATATGCAACCTAGAATCTGACACTTGTGACGTATGGCTGTATCGGTTGTTTTTAAATTCGCTGCATGTAATTTTGTTATTCTAATATATTCCTGTACATATTTGTATATTTACATGTTTAGGTACTGTATTAAAATGAACTGATGCGGTTAACTGGCTTTCAGATGCCCCTATCACTACTACCACCAGTATATCCATCAAAATCACGAGACTCCTTAAACTTAAGAACAGAAATTCATCAGCCTCCTGAATCAGGAGAAAAAATTAGTAGTGCTGCTAGTGAAGCTGCTTTACATAGATGCAGATTATATGAATTGCGCCAGACGTTCTTGGGGATCTCTACTTCAAAAGACCCTTGTCCGCATTGTCAGACAGGAATCTCTACGTGTACATATGTGAGCACAGATAATCACTCTTTTTATACCAGCCCCGTGGGTAGTTTTGGGTGCACTGTTTTAAATTCAGCAAGGTTTGACCGTGGTCCTTCCATTTATGTAAGTACCCCTGATATTGATTGTCTTTCTTCTGCCACTGAATCAGACAAACTTCGTGAATCTGTAAATACGTACCATAAAACTACTCAGAAGCAGCCTTCACTAAGCTATTATCCTAATGTTGAATACGATCAACTTGATACAGCTGATCAACTTCCAAGTCCTAATTATTCATCCTTTATTTATTCAAATCCTCTTACATCATGTGAAAAATATGCGTCTATAGAATCTTCATTGTCTGGGGAATTTACAGCAAAGCCCAGTTTATTTATCAGTGAGGCTGGGTTTTGTCCTTTAACTCCAGAAGCCGTTCATTTATCCTCAAACGAGTTCGCAGAAAGTTCTAGTCCTCAAATTCGGACTGTTCTCATGAATATTTTGCATCCAATGAGAATCTAAACTGTCCGAAGTCCAACATTAATATTACTAGTTTGAAAGATGTAACATGGTTATCTGAACAGTGTAAAAAGAGTGAGGATATCCAAAGTTTTTCGCATCGATTTAGTAGCAAAAGTTCTGAACCAAGGCACCGGTTTAATGAATGTAAAGGTTCATGTGATCAATTGAACCCAAATTTACATCATTCAACAACTAGTTGTTTACCTATGTCAAACCCTTCAACTAAAGACACAAGAAAGTCAGACCGGGTTAACAGTTATAATTTTAAGACTATCCAATCACATGATTTACATAAAGATGATACAAGTGATTGTTCTGTGTCTATAGGTAGAATAAATAAATACGATTTTCCTTACAAAAATAAATATGCATCTATTTTGCCTGCTAATCTCGAGCTTAGCACAACACATTCACATTGTGATGACTCACAGCTTCGTTCATCAACTAAGTCTGTGATTGGTCGCTGTTTTTCAGTCTCACCCAACCATCGGTTGTCACACTCGTTATCTGTTTCTCGGGCCAATCAAAGTAATGCAAGGGTTGATATGAGTGAAAAAGTTTGCACAATGTTTAACTCAAACAGCGTCACAAACGGACGTATTTTTAACAAATGTTTTTTATGATGATACACAAAATCATATAACATCGTCAAACCAACCTTCATCGTGTTCTTCAGTGCCCTGTAAGACAGATCAAAAAAGAAAAAGTTCTGAATCACTTTCTTTGAGCGATACTCAAGATATAATGTATTTATATTCATATGGACATAATAATAGTGGTAAATACAGGAAACAAACAAGTGGACAAAGTAATCAACCGAAAAACAATTACAATCAGATGCGTGTCGACTCTATACTAGAAAAGCAAGACATATCGAAAAAATGTACTAAGCCAGTGTCAAGAATTACTGCGGAATGCGACGTCTTTCATCGGAGTCTTGAACCTAAAAATATCCCCGCAGAACAATCTAGATCGCATAGAAACCAGAATAAAACCTCTTTACAGAATAGTATTATGGTTAGTGTTTCAAATCAAAGCAGACAATTAGCTTTGGCACAGGCACATGCATTAAAATGTACTGACGAAGATGTGATTTCTTTTGGAACTAGTTTATCATCATTGCCATCCTCAGCGTTATCATCTTTTTGTCCAGGTGACACTTCTCTGGTTACTGCTCATTCTCGTAACATTGGTCGCTTGAAAGTGACTCTACCTGGTCTTGCAGTCAATCATTTGTCTAATAGTCATCACTCATCCGACTGTTCAACGCGTGGTTCAATATCTTATCAGTCTAATAGTAATCATAATCCAAAGTCACAAAACCCAAATTTTAGAGGTACTGTCACAGGAGATGTTTGTAAGCGACGTCATGAGAGATTGAATACTGAGTCCTCTAAAAGTTGTAAAAACAGAATAGAGATATCTGAAAGCTCTTCTAGTCAATCGCTTTCTCCATCGTATGTCAATGTATTACTTCCTGCTCAGTCATTTGATTTGTCATCTGGATTTCCTTCTTCAGATAATCTGTCTACTAATAGGAATTTAGTAAGTTGAATTGATAAACAGTATAAATAATGACAAATTGTTATAAAAAATCGGAAACGATTTCAGTATAAATCAGTTGTGAATGAATGTTATCTCACCACGTTTAAGCAAACTCACCATATGAAAACTCTCTAAAAATTAAAAGGGAAAAGCCAATAAAGCTTAGTGATGTATGGTGATTCAATGAATATTAACTTTCATAAAAGATTAACTTTTTTCATTATCCTGAACGCTAGTTTTAGATAACACAACACTTTCCACGATACAACCATAGTTTTTTTAAAAAAAAATGTATTATTGTTACTGTGATAACTAATGACAACATTGGTAGTTTATTTCATTTTCTGTTTCATATGAACTTTAGCTGTCTGTTCGGTATCACGTACATAGAAACATGATACTGGATACTAAGAATATAAAATATTAGAATGTTCTAAGTTTTGGAAATATTCTGCATAAATTGGTAATCAACATTCAACAGTATTATCTGTTCTTATAACTATGTCAGCCAGTTTTTCATGTCTTGTTTTTCAGTATTCTTATTCTACAAACGTTAAATAATCTGAATGAACATATTCTTTACTACATGTTCGAGTTTTCGGAAAATTGTCTATGTTTACACTTTTTAATTCGTGACAAAAAATCAGTGAAAAAAATAATGAAACGTCTGGGAATTTTAAAAGTCAAGCCGAATTAGTCTGGAAGCATTGTATAGTGCCCTTTAGGAAATATTTCTATCTGAAGTAACTGCATATCATTAAATCCCCCAGTGTTTATTAGTTCATTTATGTATGTTCATGAGTAATTGTCGGGGAAGGACTTATTAATGTCGGTGTTATTAGTTCAATCTAATGATTAGGATCTTTTACAATTTCAACGTTAATCTCTGTAAACACTAGTGATATTAACAAACTAGAAATTGTAGTTGATGTAAACAAATACGTGTTCATCATAAGCTACTAAAAATTAGTTTTGGTGATTATAACTGTTCTGAGCGGTATTGATTGTATGTGGACGTCTGTTTTTAGTTCCGGATACTAAATCTCGATGTTTCAACAAACTTTTAAGGTACTCAGTAAACGTTCTTTTTGTGACAGTCACTATAGCTACACTACTAGTGTGGTGTATGCTACTTATGTCTGTCGACATAAATAGTATGTAACATCAATCAGAAGTGGAATGCCTGGCAGTAGAAGGTTGAGATCGAATTGAAGAGGACGGGGATGTAAACAGAGAGTAATTGTAACAGCGATTAAGGAACGATGATGCTTGAGACAATTGATGGAAGAATTGCAAATGAAGTATTTGATGTATGGGTTTTCACATTTTACGAAAAACTCTGTAACTGCATTAAACAATAAATTGGTCTTCCCCACCAAGTCTTCGTTCATTTCACTAGTATCTAATTAAGGTTGTTAATTTACAAAATACAATTTTTCTTGGGATCTAACAGTATTCAAAAGTTATGGAAGCTTTGAAAAGTAGCTTTGTTTAATCAATGCATTTAAGCTCTATTACCGTTTCAATGTCTTTTTTTTATATTCTGCATATAATTTTTCATAATAAATGAGACCCATTAGTTAAGATGCTGTTTTCAACCAATAATCCCCATGTTAAAAACCACTATCTTCGTTTTGAGTAGTGAAGTATTTTCAGCAAGTTCCATTCAATTGATATGAATCCAAATTAAGATGACCTGCACACGAAGTACAGGTTTGTATATTCTACTTTTTGCCAAATCTCGGGGTTGTTAATACTGCTCGACTTCTCAAACTGAAGTAGATGAAGTGAAGTCTAAATATGTGAGTTCATGACTTAATAGTAAATACTTTAACGAGTATAAATTGTCTTCAAACTCCAAAGCTAATAGATGAATTTTTTCTAAGTTGATTGGTCGCATTTGTTTACCTGAGTTGTATAATCTTTCCAGTAGTATCTTAGTATTTATTTGTTTAATGGTCTATTAGTGACAGTTTTAAAATAAACTATGCTCACGACAATTTGAACACCTAACTGACAATCATTCAGCAACTTTCAATAGTTAGTGACTGGATCAGCACTTGGTTATGGGATTGCATTGTTCGTTACTTTTTTATATCGTTGTGGCGTTTTCATCTTGCATGTACACTTTTTGCTAAGTTTTTTCTTCACATTACGTCTTCTAAGCCGAAGCTGGTAAGATCGTAACCTTATCTCTAATCTAGATGCTTATACGCTTTCTCAAGTCAGGCCTGTAATAGTGTTAGGCTAAACCACATGTTGCTAAGCTATTCATATATATGGAGATAAGAGAGTTTGAATTCAAGCTCAAGTAAATTTTAAATGTATCTCGATAACTTGGTAACGTCTTAAACATACAAAATACATGTATACTATGATATTCTTTTAGTAATTATCTATGTATTTCGTTTTGTTTTCCGCAGGAAAATTTATTAAGTAATCTGATTGCACAAATCTCATGTTTAGTAATTGTATATTGAAGTGTTCATATTTCCCACCATCATCATAACCATAACTTCGTCATTTTTAGGATACAATTAATAAGCGCTCACCACGACCTTCATCAGACCATTCAAGAACCTATCAAAAAACGCAGCATTTGGAGAGAAAAAGTATGCGTAAAAGTAATTCTCGACATAATTTCAAGCCTGTAAATAAGGAATCTCAAATCCACAATCTCGTTCCTTCAAAAGTTTGTCGTGTTGGTCAATACATATCTGGGTCTTCTTCACTATTATCTGTAAGTAATCCGGATGACGTAAATGATCCTGAAAAGTCTCCTGTATATGTAAGTGAGGATACACGAGAATATGACTATATCAGAAAAGACCATAGAAAAATCTCAAAGTTGGCTTCAAAAATATCTCATTATCTGGAAAATGGTAGGGAGGCAGAGGTTAAAAACTTTGTGAATAAAATACTACGTAAACCCGAATCAAGGCGCGTTGTTGATGAATTGATACGTTTATGTGGAAATAATCTTCACAAAGTTCTCAATCTTAATGTAAGTTCTTGCAACTATCTAGTTTTTTTAAAATAATTTTTCTTTCTAAAGTCAACTTATTGGGTACAACTGTCCTATCACACTGAAAGATATTTTTAACTTGTTGACCTAAATTTTGCTAAATATATTGACTAATTACCAAGTGTTACCTTACAGTTTAGATTCCCGGACTGTTTAAATCTCGAAATCTTTCGAATAGGTTGGTAACTTTAATATTTGCCATAATTTTTCCGATTACTGGAGAATTCTTATATGCAGTCGATTCTTGACGTATCGGTGCTAAAATATATAGAAAGAAATAACGTTTCACATCACATATAGTTGGATGGAAGTCGATAAAATTGTGCTACACTGTTGTCTATACTATTGACGTTCATTGAGACATTACCTGACGCATTCGGGTGGAAGGGTGGTATTTAAATTATATTAAATATTAGGCTCTTGGTTCTGTGGGCTATCACTACGTGTCATATATCATTTTAGTACTCCATGAACATTACGCTTTTAAAATGGCTAATCTTGTATGAATATTCCACAGGCTATTTAACTTTGCGTTTTTCCATAACGTTTTATGCGTTGAGGACAAACGAATTTGGTATCTCTGTGAAAGTAATCTATAAAATGTGAATCGTTCATCTGTTACGTAAACTAATAAATATTAATCTCTACGCCAGTTTCATCTTTGAGTTTGATAACACTTTAAGAAATCAAGTGAGCCTTTTGTGCTAGTATTTCCAACTATCCAACATTCAATATGGCTCACTGCAACTTATAATTAGTCCAGTGACCACTGTACGTTCATATCCAATAGAATTAGATCAGCTGTGAGGGTAAGGCAAAGCAGTAGTAATTACAATTCACTAATTGGTTAGTGGAGTTCCAGAATAGTTTAATGACTTACTATATATAATGCCGATTTATTTTGATTCACTTTAGCAAATGGAGACACTGGAGAATTCGCAGAAAAATTCACCTCCTTTGATTCACCTTGGAGCTTCACTTTCTGACCTAAGGACGTCATACACGCTTGATTTCGTCCCGTACATGAATGTCGATTCACATAGACGAGGTAGTTGTGGAAGCGTACTGTCTTCGCCTTGGAATATCACCTCTTACGATCGTTCTTGGGCTCCTGCGTCACATAATCGGTCTACTCTTGGGTGTTCCAATAAATTATCACCGTTTCAGAGAAAACGTACTTCCTTATACTCACCTAATACTACTCGTTACATTAAGTGGCCTTCTAGTGGGTGTATTCGAAGCAAACTACCTTCACTGCCACCGCCACCTCCTCCTGTACCTCCAGTTTTGCTTAAAACAACAATTTTACCACCGGATGATCGAATTCGTGTTATAGATATGCATGCAATTGAAGTAAGTTGCTGCCATTTTTTGTTTAAGATATATTTATTACTCATGCATGTTTTGCTGTTCGCTCCACAGATGCCCCGTGTATTGATTTATTTTATTTGTTGTATGATGCTTTACTTTTTCAATAGTTGGATGTGTAGGTTGTGTATATCACTATTCTATATCGTGTTCCTAACTTATGTTGTGTGATGAGATTATTTAAAACGGTACCATTTTCATTTCTGATATATATTGAAAGATAATTTGTTTAACCGACAGTTTCAGTGAGATTGTTATCTCAGCATTTATTTCTGCCTTTGTTTTTCCGCAAGTATCTGATGTTTACCTTCAATGATTGATGTTGATATGGCGATTTTGTTTTCAACAGGTTGCTGTTTAGCTTAGTAGTTAAAGTTGTCTTGCTCTGTGTACTTTTCTGTAGTATATTTTTTAACCAATACATTCGCTACAAAATTGTTTCAGGTTACTAATCGCGTTCATATGACATTCTCTGAACTGATTTCTGATCTGACCACTGGTATAGATAACGAAGTTGAAGTTATACGGTAAGTATCGTTTCGCGGATTTGTTTACTGTAATGTTAAATGATTCAGACTTTTATTTAATAGTTAATTTAGGGGGAAATGATTTGATTCTGTAGTTATGTATGATTCCAGTTCAACTATTTGCAAACTATTCAGCCCTTCTAGAAAGTGCGCTAAATGTAACTTATTCTAATATCAAAGCTATTAGTTTCATTATACCAAGTTTGAATACCATTTATGATGTAGATCCACTCTCATTGAGTTGGGAATATTCACTGATAGTTTGTCAGTCTTGGGGGCAAATTCTGCATCGAGTTACGTATAAGAATATTTTATGAGATGCCTTCGATTCATGATGAACGTGAATAGTCGGCTAAAAGCATATGATGAAAACAAATGTAGCACATTATCATGGATCGAGAACAATTTCACAGACTGTTTATATCATCTACATGTTTAAACACATAAATGATAGGAGTAGAGCCGATCATGGTCTAGTTAAACATTAATTATAACACGAAAGCGAACTATTTTATTATATTTTATCAACTCTCAAAAATACCTTGAAAAAATCTTTGAGAATCAGGAGAAAGCCTTAACCGATCTGCGTTCTCTGGGAAACCAATAGTTCCCGCGAAACGACGGATTACGTTGTCATTATCTTGATTAGACAGCTATAGACATTATAGTCACTTTAAGCATGTTTTCCATAAGTTCCTGAAATCTTGAAATCAAATTTGATTCTCAGACAGTCAGTCAGCTACAACGTAGAATCAGGCACATATATTCATCGGTACAAGTTGCCATACCTCATTAGCACAACAAGATGAATACCGAATTCATAAAGTAGTTACTTCAATGGTAGTAATATATAAAAGAAAGATTGCATATAAGGATATAGTACAGGGAGAAAGGATTAGTTGGTAGAAAGAAAGATATAAAGCAATTTTAACCTCATAGTGTAAGGGAAGACAGAGAGTGCATACACCTACGCCATTGTGACCGATTCTGAGCCATGTCACCCAGAGTCTCCAATCATTGGTTACGATAGTCACGCGGATCCCAACCAAGTAGTCTGCATCTACCAACATGGCTAAGACTAGAAGTTAGTGACTTCAAGCACTGATGTCACGTTTTGGTTTGACCGTCCCTAACTTTCTTTCAACCATCCCCAACACTAGTCAGCATTACGCGTGGTGGTAATCGGTGTTCAGGCATACGTAACACGTGGCACAACGATCTCAGTCTATGAAGATTCATAACCTCATCAACTGATTTACCATCATTCCCTAATACCCTGCGTCTAACCTCACTATTACTTACCCGGTGATCCCAGCAGACGCCAACAATATTTCTAAGGCATCTGTGGTCAAATACTAATAGCTTACATGTGTCTTCTACTCTTAATGGCCATGTTTCGCTGCCGAAAATCAAAACAGAACGGACTGCCGCGCAGTATACTCGTCCTTTTATTGATAGACGGATATCTCGCCTTCGCCATTGGGGACATAAGTTGGCAAAAGCCAAACGAGCTTTTCGAATCCGTGCTGAGATTTCGTCCGATACCAACCCATTAGGGCTGATCAGACTTCCAAGATATGTGAAGTTGTCAACGCGTTCGACTACTTCACCCCCTATCCTTAGTTCAGGTATTGACGCAGACCAGTCCTGAAGCAACAACGTGCGTTTAGAGGGGGAGGAGCGCAACCCAAACATCCTGGCATTGTTGCTCAGTCCTACCAAAAGACTGCATTTTATTAGCGTCTTCACCAAACACAACTATTTCATCTGCGTATTCTAAGTCGATAAGTGGACCTCCCGGTAGGAGATCAATGCCTGAAAATTCAATCGACGAGAGCGTTGTTTCCATCTGTAGGTCTATGATGAAGTTAAATAAAAATGGAGAAAGTGGACAGCCCTGCCGGACACCATTTGAGGCTGCAAAATCAGATGACAGTTCGTCATAAGCTCTGACTCGACTATTGGTGTTCGAGTAAAGAGCCTTCACAAGGTTTATGTACTTCTGAGGTACACCTTTTAATGACAGACACTGCCACAGGACCTCTCGGTCTACAGAGTCAAATGCTGCTTTTAGGTCAAGAAACACTATAATTGTCGGATGCCGATAAGCATGCCTGTGTTCTAAAACCTGGCGAATAGTGAATATGTGGTCGATGCAGCGACAACCAGGTCTGAAGCAAGCCTGATTTTCTCGTGTCTGCAGTTCACGAGTCTTAGTTAGGCGTCCGATAATTATTGAGGCTAGTATTTTAGATGCTATGTTAATCAAACTAATCCCTCTATGGTTATCACAGGATGATTTTGACCCCTTTTTATATATTGGGACAATCAGTGATTGTGACCAATCAGATGGGATTACATCCAACTCCCAGATTTTAGCCAAAATATTAGTCAACCTAATCGCTAAAATTGGACCACCATCCTTAAAGACCTCTGTAGCCAATCCATCTGGACCAGCTGCCCTTCCTCGTTTCAGATTATCTATAGCCTTTTGAACTTCAACTAGAGTCGGGGGACCTACTTCAATGTTCCATTCAGGCTGTCTGGAAATGGTGGGTAGTTGTAGAGTAGCTGGAGGCCAGCTGAACTGCTCCTTAAAATGTTCCGCCCATCGTTCTAAACGTCTGGACTGGGAGCAGATAAGATTGTCGTCTTTTTCCGAGATAGTCTCACTTACACTTGACTTATTAATCTTAGTTCCTTTTATTAGTCTGTAGAGCTGTCTTGTATTACCTACAGCCGCCACCTTTTCCATCTCTATGTGCTTTCGTTGCCCACCACCGCTGACGGTCGTTCCTTAGACTGTTGGTTAACCAAGATCTGATCTGCTTTCGCTCTTCATCGTGTTCAGATCCTGATGGGATGAGTTTACGAGAATCCATTAGTGCAATAGACTTAGAAGAAATCGATTGGTGTTTTGTGACCCTGTGGTTTAAATCACTGATAGATGTCACTGCTGTTTGTATATCTTTCCAAGCAACATCTGGGTCAGCCTCGTTTTCAAAACTACCTAAGTGTGACCTCAGTTGTTCCTGGAATCTACTTTCTGCTTTCTCGTCACTCAGTTCAATTCTAATGGGTCTTCTTAATGTGGATTTTCTGCGTCCGGTGAGGCGCAAGCAGATGCGTGCCCGTATTAGAGCATTATTAGAGTCCAAGCAGCAGTTTTATTTTTTCTACTCAACTTCGTCACTGAAAGCATTCTGTCTACGGGACGTTGGACGAAAATTTCAAAGGTGCAGTCTCGCTTTACAATTGATGCTTTAAAAAAGTGGAGAGCATATACTTTACACCAGTTTCAGTCACCCAAACTAAACGGTAACAAATCAGAAATTTGCGATATGATTAGACACAACTTGGAATAATCTAAATCTACATCATACAATAGTTCCTACATGTATTTTTATTGAACAATAAGCAGTGAAATTCTATATGGCTTATACTTATGGACTTGGTAACTAGTCAATCGTTAATCATGAACAGTGAAGGATTAGGCACAAATCTGTACCCAATAATGAAAATTCGTATTCGTTCTTTTTACTAAGTTTGCATCTGTTTGAAGTGCCACACTTTGCCCCCTTCATATTTTCTAGGAATTTAATACTTTCATTTTAGAATGTCAGGTCAAAGTAATAGAAACTAAGTGCAGAAAAATTCTTACTTTCTTCAGTCCATGGAAATCTCCTTTAATTTGACCAACAACTTACTTTATCTAAATACTTAGGGATAAGCTCAGCAATCAGCTGAGAACACGCTGGAGTCAATTCTGACGGCTTAAGAAGAACACTATTCCCAGCAGCGATTGCACCAATTAGAGGCTGAAATGATAAAATGAAGGGGAAGTTCCAAGGGCTTATTATTAAAACCACACCGTATGGCTGCTTTTGAATAGTTACTGTATCCATTAACGTGATGAATGACGATGGAACCTGGATAATGAATTACCCTTATAACATTCGATACATTACCGACTCCTCTTTCAACCATGAATCCATATTAGAGAGCATTGTTTTCGCTTCACCTACTGAAGGGTCTATATCCGTTAAAATAGATTCAGTTCGACACTATTTATAACATTTGTTTTGCGCACTATAATCGTTGGCTATGGTGACACTTAAGGAGGAAGCCAAAAGATGAAGTATAGAGTTGATAGTTGAGGTAGAAGTAATTATGGAAACTGGAGAAGGAAAATTGATTATGAATACGGCGGTCTTGATCGCTGTTAGAGGTATGAGGACGGTTATCACTTCTCGGTTGCCCAAACCGTGGAAGGGTTCTTCTAGAGGTACCTGCAAATGAAATCGGGTTGGAGTTGGTCTTGGTGACATGAAAGCGTGACCGCAGTGCCCAGGGGACAACTGCTTAAGGCGGGTCACACACGACCTTTTTGTGGGTAATTTTCGTGTTAGCTCTGTACTTGTTGAGACCTCACCGCCGGAGACGGATATCCGTGGGACAAGGCGATGTGTGCATTTTTAGGGTGAACGTTTTCTAACCCCATCCCTCCTTGTGGGAAGGCAGCATCGCTGTTATGTTGGTTGTCTGAAGGAAACACCTTACTGCCGTCACACCTCTGTACAGTCGGCAGTACGATTTCGCCTTCAGACCTTGGGTATACTGCTTTTAGTCTTACCGCTCCTCAACCGACCTGTTTGGCATGGTAGGACCTTGAGGAACGATTGTTCCAGCCAGTATAGCTTGATTAGTTCATCACGATAGGCAAGCTCGACCACCACGTCAAGGTAGCAACAACGGTTGTGGGCGGGCGATTCTATAAATACCCTTGCTTTCTGTACATAAGCTAATCTTCATATTGATACTATTCCCATGCCACCCGGGGTTTACGTGTAGAACTTTTCTCTAAACGAGAAGGCGGTTACGAAGGTATTGTCTGACTCTTTTACGACAAATATATCCACTACAAAGTGCTTTTAACTAGTCGTAATTTCTCTAGATATTCTGGTTTTTCGAAGAAATATTTATCAAATATTGTTCATTGTAAATATTATTCTCATCATGAACACACAATGCAACATTTTCCAAAACTTTCATTTTAGTTCCCTTTATCGATGGACTACTGGTAAGGATACCAGATGTGAAGATTATGATCCAGAAGCTCCATCTGATTCATTGATTGGGATGTTGAGACAGATGAAATATAATCAGTTATCGCGTAATGAATTATTTTATGAACTATGCCGGTACGTGTTTTGCCATTTCAGTTAAGGGAATTTGTAGATCTGTCATTGAGAAAATACTTTTCATCGTAACTCACTTTTAATGAGATTCATACAGACTTTAAGTATTTATTTGGTGATTGTTTTGTGACTTCTGGAATTATCATATATATACTGTTGTATATATTCCCTAATGAGAAATACGAGCATGATGATTTTTTCACCATAAATTGTCGTAATTTTTAATTAATCTAATTTGATATTTGTTGTTTTATGTACTTTTGTGATATGCATGACTTCAGAATAAACTTTAATTAGTATAATGGAGGGTTTATTTTCCAAGTAAAGAAATAAATGAATCGATATTGTTAGAATAGCTTACAATCTATATCGACGTTTGACAATCATCTAGTTCTTAAATGCAAATTTCGTAACTTTATGAAGGTATATCAAAAGAATTGAAAGTGTTAGCTGTAAGCGTTATACGTGAGATTTTGTCCAACTACTTGCTAAAATTTACAACGTCATCGATGTTCATGAAGGAAATTCGGTTGGTTTGTGTCTGGATCCCCCGCGAATTCCTCTATAAGATCTTCAAAGACCAGGATAAGGCTGAAAACATTTCATCCAATCAGCGGGCGGAAAGTCGTAGTAAACATATCGATTTAATCACTGGCACTTGCTAATCCCATTACATGAGATTAAGTAACAGGAACTTCCTTTAGGACCGATACTTTACAGTCTACTGGGACCATTTGACCCAGATCTTGTGTGTATTTCGTCAACCTGCTCATCTTGTAGTGATACGTTTTAGCTTGTTGGATTCTATTTCAGTTCTATGACTTTTCAGCGATTTCTCATGTTTCCTAATTATTTTTACTTTTGATTACATACAGGTTTTTCTATTGTTACCCAAGTCTTAGATAAACTTTAAACCACTTTCGCAGCAATTAATTTTTTGTTTTTATGTTATCGCGTCTCATCCTTTGAGTGAATGCGTTTATATATGTTGGATACATAATTTACAGTTCTTTATCATATAAAGAATCACTTTTTTATCTTCATTACTTTAATTGTGGTGGTCTATATTCGCATTTGTTTTTTTATAGAGGTATTAATCCAAAGTATGGATTATTTCATCATTGAATTGGACAATGTGATTCTTAACTTATACACCCGGTCATTTACAGTCAACGTGAAGCGTTGGACAAATATTCATTAACCAGAGCTCTTATACCACATCGGCAGGATCAAATGAAGTTAACATTGTTATTATCAAATGAATTAAGATAATGATAGTAACAATGATGATGAGAAAGACTAATCTTTAAGCAGGATATTCACTCCGGTACTCGAACGCAGTACTGTTAATTTCAAATGCCATTGAGTTATCCACTTAGCTATTGAATCCAGTTAGTCATTAGCTTGTAGGGTGGGGTGACGAAACACGCGTCCTGGATACTACTGCTAGCTTTCATCCATCTCTTCTTGAAAACACTTGTGTCTTAGTGACAATATAGAGACAACCTTCACAGGATGCCTAAATGCCGAAGAGACTGATTAATTGCGGTCCTAAACGTCAATAGGGAAATTCGAACAACCATACAGATTCGAAAGATTATTCTTTTCAAATGTAGCTCCATGAGACTGAATGAAAGGCTATGAATGAAGAAATACTAGAACTCTAGATCTAGGGGAAGATTAAGCGTGAATGCATCTGTGCCGTTGTGATAAATTCTAAGCCATTTCACTCAGTCTTCGAAAATTTATCGGGATTATCGCACAGACTACAGTCAGGTAGTTGGATATACCACAAAATATCAGACCAACAGACCAATCTATGGACTGGCTGATCACACATCTTGATCTGCTTGCTTCTAGCTTTCTTCCAACTCATTCCCGGTGTTAAACTTTCGACACCGAGGTATACATTGGTTGGGTATATCTAACACATATCCTCAGTCTGCTCTGTCTATGAAAATTCACCTCATCAACAAGTGGAGTGGTCAATGCACCCAACCACTATATCTTAGTGGTAAAGTCTCAGACTGTAACGTTGATTGATGTGGGTCAAATCTTAAAATTATACATACATGTTTGTATTTTAACATACGGTGTTTTTTTCGAGAAATGGGTCAGTTTCTTCAGGAGTTTGACTTCATCTTTCCATTGAAATATCCTGTTTGGAGTTCATTTATTATATAAACAGATTACCAGGAAGAAATGCGTAATCAAGTGCATAAATGTATAATTTATATTTTGTTTGGTATCATCCATCCGTAGTGTCACCAGAATATTGGTAGTTTTAATAATTTTCTTTATCCAGGTATGCTGGATTACAATGTCAATATATAACTGGTTATTCTAAAGGTGCTGGATATCGTCCAGGCATGCCAATTAAAGATAATAAACTTTTTCGTAATACTTGGCTTGCAGTGTACATTTGTGATGGTTGGCGTTTTGTAAATTGTAATTGGGGTGCTCGGTATTTATCGGAAAGTAAATCTTGTGTTCCCCTAATTGTTTTTATTCTGTTTTCTAATATTCACTTTAAATTTGTCCTGCATTACATCTACAGTTTCAATCTCACTTTTTCTGTCTGGTGTCATGGGGGCTGAAATAAAGTATCTAAGTAAATGTAAATATTCGTTTATACAAATAAATTTGAAAATTATTAAGTTTAGATTTCGTAGTTCGATAAATTTGTGTCAGCAGTGTGACTTAATTATGTGGGATATGTCATTTCCATTCATTTCTGCAACATAGAATCACATAGTTTCAACATTTTGTGTTTTCAAAACGTTTATTGGCAAGTCAACGCTGATAGATACTTGTGTGTATTGTCTTGTTAAATAATTGTCGTAATTCAGTATACTTTACCCATGTCTATACTGTGTTCTTGATCGGTTTTTGTTTGAATTCTGAGAGAATAGTTTCGTGGCCAGGTTTATAGTGCCAAGCGAATAAGGTACCCCTTACGCTATATTAGAAAATCCCTCGTCCTAGGTTAAAAGTTCTTAAAACATGTAGTTCGAAATTTCCTAACTCCAGAATTATAAAGCTCCATCCATTTTGTGATAATCGATATTTTATGGTAGTGCACAAAGCATACACCATTCACTTTATTTAATAAAGGTTTTCAGCTTGATCGACTCAGTAGCATCTGGCTGTCTGCAGCAGATAAATAAACCTCTAGAATAACCAGTAGTGGAACAAGTAGATTTACATAAATGAACATTAACATCTTCACATATGTTTAGAGGAGACCATGTTTTAGTCTTAATGACAATCCTAAAATTTACTAATAACATGAAGCAGATAACTATGTGTCTTTTGGTAAAAGTTACTTAGCCTGGTGTCGTTAGCTGATAGCTCTTAAATTTGTTTGGAGAATAAATGTTCCGACCACATTCGAAAACTTAGAGATTTATAAGCACAGTATACAAATTTCTTGGTCAGTTCGTATAACTCATCTTTCCTCTTTGCGACTGGTTATATTTGTAGATTTACCAGACGGTCGTTCGTCTTCATCTGAATGTGATGAATTTTATTTTCTAACTGATCCAGAACAACATGTTTTTGAGAATTTACCTGATTTAAAAGTATGGCAGCTATTGCGCAAACCATTGAGTATGGATCGATTTTGTCACTTACCACTACTTAAATCGCCATTTTTCAATGCTAATCTATTTTTGAAAAAGAATTATTCCGATTGTTTAGTTACCAAAAATGGACAGGTAATTTCACTATTTTTTATGAGTACAATGTGGTATTCACATCACTCGCTTTGTATAAATGAATAACCTTTGAATTGAGTCTGTAATTTATTTTCCAGAACTCTCCTTTATATAAATAGTTCGTCTCAGTATAGATTAAAACTGTAGCTACAATGACTTGAATTGCGTTTCTGTTTTTTTTCGTCAGCTCTTCTTTCCACAGGTGCGTGGTTTATAAAACAGTCGATTGAAGAATAACGAAAGCATAATTATTGTTATATAATGAACGTAGATAAATCCACATCAGTGTCTTATGAGTTGTGGTAAACGATAATTTTTCTTTTGAGATTTACAAGCTTATAGAGGTGATTACTTATTTAAACCTGCAACCCCTCTTCAGATATAGGCCGCCGACCAAGGATCTTCAATAAATTTATCCCTGTCTCTCCTTTCCAATCTTTGCCAAGTGGTATTCATAGTCTTAATGTGTCGCCTTTGATTCCCGTCACTATATTTTCTTACATCTGTTCCTCTTTCTTTCCCCCCGAGGATTCCGAGCCAGAGCTTGTCTTGTAATACAGTTTGATTGTTTTCCACGAAACATGACCAATTTACCTTCAGCGTCTTTCCCTAATTTCTCCAACTGGTTGCTGGTTTGTTCTACTCCAGAGTAGAGTATGTTGATAATCTCGATACAATGGATGTGTATTATCTTGCCTAGGAAGCTGTTTATGAATGCTTGTACTTGTATTGTCCAATTCATTTCTCAGAAATGATCCACAGTGTTCCCGTTTGTTTACCACATGATTGATCCTCACGAAAAGTAAATTGTTTATCTCGGAGTTGGGCATCTACTAGATTTTCTATTCGGTTCAGCTAGCTATATTGAAACATCCGATTGACACTAATATTAACGTGATTTTCTGTGGTTCTTACACGTACTAGGAACTCCTTTTTAGAGTATTTTTATGAAGTATCCCTCTTTCCAGTCTGTTGATACCTGTTCTTTCTCCGAGATCTTTCTGAAGAAAACGTGAAACATGATTGAATTTGCTTCTATATCTAACTTTATTATTTCAGCTAGTGTTCCAACTGGTCATACTGTTTTTCCATTCTTGATTTGTGCGATGGTCTTGTTTGGTCTTCTATTGTTGGTGGGGTATCGTTATAAGGTGATCTCCGTGCGCTGTTCTTATATCCTGTAGGTTCAGATTAGCTGGTCTATTCTGAAGTTCTTCAAAGTGCTGTATTGCCGCTTTTGATTCTCACTAGCTGGTTTTTGTTGGGGATTCTAGATCCTCAGGAATCACCTTGGTAAACGTCTCAGTTTCGTAATTTTATCTCGGAAATTTGAATTTCTCATTTTTGCTCTAAAAGCGCCCACTTTTACCTTCACCTTTGTATTCTCCACTTTAATGAACCTTAAACGTCATTGGCTCGTTCCCTCTTTTACTACGCTATTTTGTGACGTTTTCCAAGGACATTTTTGTACTGCATACATACTCATAAATTGTGTTCTTGTTCGTTCGTGCTTCTGGCTGCTTGTGGAATATCTTTTTCCGGCTGAATCTGGTCTTCTCCCTCTAGTTAGCAGGACTGGGGCACATCTTAGCTTGTCCTGTTATTGTATTGCTGACTTTGTTCCGTTTCGCCGGTTCTCGGCGATATCGTAGTTTCTTCGGACGTAACAGTTTCACGTCTTCGTTGCTGACTGGTCGCTCTTGTCTACTACTTTTTCCTGTTAGCTTTTTGCTTTTGCTCTATGGTTCTTCTATACGTTATTTTCCTTTAGCTTGTCCTACTGTAGTTGTCAGGTCTTTTAAATATTTATGCTTGTCAGCCGTAATGCTCTTCTTTACTCCTTTGTTTGCTTCTGTATATTCAGTCTGTATCTTGGCTTTCTTTGCAATTTTCAGGCTTTTTTGACTGCTGTCTCCTTGTTTTTGCTTTCTTGATTTGTGCTCACTGTCTTGATTGATTCACCCTCTATGCTGGTGCTCCTTAAACTTCAGCACCTCTTGGTATATGGAAGTTATTACTTTCTAAGTCCCTCCCTAGTTGTTCGCAATAGTGGTTTCTTGTAGTGGCTTCTGTCATAGATGGAATGTGTTGTAAAACAGTTGTAGTTCAAAGTGTAGCGCATAAATTTATAAATATTGGTAACGGGAACATTCAAACAATCAACACAAATGGATTAACATCCACTCCGTTGCACAAGCCAGCGATCGTCTGGACTCAGTAGCTAAATGGACAGGTGCGTTGGACGTGTGAAGCGAAAAGTACTGGGTTCGAGTCCCAGTGTAAACTGAGGCGAAGGCGCACCCAACTGACTAGTTCCCAAATAGGACGAAATCTGCGTTCTGGATTCTACTGATAGCTGGCGTCCAACTCTGCTCATAATTTGTTATTTTAATTAGTTCACAAATCATCGTCAATGTCTTAGTGTAAATTAATAATATATTCATTGTAATGTTTTTATTCTTATGTACACAGTTCTTCTAAATACCCTCGACTTATCAACTCTCCATTCCTTACATAATTCTCTTGTATTCTGTGGTCATTTTATTTGAATTCCTTATTAGTCTTGATAATAATTCCAATATAAACTTGTCTGATTCTTTTTTATTTGTGTATTAGGTGAGTGTAAAAATAAAAATGTCGAGATTTGTTGGCATTTCCTGCAGCTTAGAAAACTGTGCCGATCATAGTATTCTGTTAGGGTTATGCTTAGTCGAAATCCTGTTACGACCATCAGGAACTGTACGCATTGAAGCTGCTCCATCACAACCAGGAAAGTATTATTTGAATGTTTATGTTTCACCTGATTGGCGGCGTGAAGACATCAGGGAATTGGCATGTTCATTTCAGGTTAGCAGTTGACCATTTTTAATCTGTTTCTCATTTTTAACGCTTGAATCTTTCAGGCCACTTGACTAATCTAAAGCCTGTAGGACTTATTATTATTCTAGCCCGTTTTAGGTCTTCGGATTTGTAAATAGTTCATAAATAAGTATTTGGGATGAGGAACAAGTACCAAAAGACTGGAAAAAAGGAATCCTGATCAAAATATCGAAGAAAGGCGATCTCAGCAACTGTGATAATTACAGGGGCATCACTCTTCTCTCAATACCGGGAAAAGTCTTCAACAGGGTATTGTTAAACAGAATGAAGGACTGCGTAGTCGCCGAACTTCGTGACCAACAGGCAGGATTCCGTAAGGATAGGTCGTGTACAGACCAGATCGCAACTCTACGGATCATTGTGGAACAATCACTTGAATGGAATTCATCACTCTACATCAACTTCATTGACTACGAAAAGGCATTTGATAGCGTGGACAGAACAACACTATGGAAGCTTCTTCGACACTACGGCATACCTGAAAAGATAGTCATTATCATACGGAATTCATATGATGGATTACACTGCAAAATCGTGCATGGAGGACAGTTGACAAAGTCGTTCGAAGTGAAGACCGGTGTTAGGCAAGGTTGCTTACTCTCACCCTTTCTCTTTCTCCTGGTGATCGACTGGATCATGAAGACGTCAACATCTGAAGGGAAGCACGGGATACAATAGACATCTAGGATGCAGTTGGACAATCTGGACTTCGCAGATGATCTGGCCCTTCTATCCCAAACGCAACAACAAGTGCAGGAGAAGACGAACAGTGTGGCAGCAGCCTCAGCAGCAGTAGGTCTCAATATACACAAAGGGAAAAGCAGGATTGTCCGATACAACACAGCATGCATCAATCCAATCACAATTGACGGAGAAGATTTGGAAGATGTAAAAACCTTTACATATTTGGGCAGCATCATTGATGAACAGGGTGGATCTGATGCAGATGTGAAGGCTCGGATCGGCAAAGCAAGAGCAGCATATTTACAACTGAGGAACATCTGGAACTCAAAGCAACTGTCAACCAACACCAAGGTCAGGATTTTCAATACAAATGTCAAGACAGTTCTACTGTATGGGGCAGAAACCTGGAGAACTACGAAAGCCATCATCCAGAAAATACAGGTGTTTATTAACAGTTGTCTACGCAAAATACTTCAGATCCGTTGGCCGGACACTATTAGCAACAACGTACTGTGGGAGAGAACAAACCAGATCCCAGCGGAGGAAGAAATCAGGAAGAAGCGCTGGAAGTGGATAGGACACACATTGAGGAAAGCACCGAACTGCGTCACAAGACAAGCCCTCACATGGAATTCTGAAGGCCAAAGGAAAAGAGGAAGACCAATGAACACATTACGCCGAGAAATGGAAATAGACATGAGAAAAATGAACAAGAATTGGATGGAACTATAAAAGAAGGCCCAGGACAGAGCGGGTTGGAGAATGCTGGTCGGCGGCCTATGCTCCATTAGGAGTAACAGGCGTAAGTAAGTAAGTAAGTCATAAATAAGTAATTTATTCAGTGAAACCCTTATAAATTGTCTAAATGATATCAAAACATTATCATTAAATAAATTTCGGTAATTAATAATCGCAAAATATTGTTTCAATTAGAATTAGAAAATCATGAATAAGTTTTTGTTGGATTTTAATATTTAATTGAGATCTTGAACCAATTGATGTTAGACCATCACAATTGAAAACCTGGAAGCACTGGACGGCCGTTTCGTGGATGCGCACTGCTGAGGAGTCCCACAATAGGACGAAACGGCCGTCCAGTGCTTCCAGGTTTTCAATTGTGATGGTCTAACATCAATTGGTTCAAGATCTCAATTAAAACTTAATAGTCTCCACAACCCCATACTAGGATTTTAATATCACCAATATCAAGTGATTACTATAGTGGAGCTGTGGCTTAGTGTTGACTTTCAGCTACTAAATCTCAGGTTCAAGCCCAGCTCCAACTACATGGGTTTGGGCAACCAATTAATATCATTAGTTCCTACAATTAGAGTGTGACTCATATCAAAGTACCCGAAAAATGAGTTAATCTAAAGTCTATTATGATATTGATTTGTGATTTTATTTATTGCACAATAGTTTCCTAGATTCGTTCTTACAAAAGGAATTTAGAAATAAACGTAAGTCTATTTTTCTCTCATATTAGTAGTGCCTGTGTTGTTGATCTGAGTGCTATTTTACCCATTAACAAAACTTTTGTTTGTATATAATTACCTGTCTAACTAAACTAGTTTGCAGTGAAATAAGGATATAGCAAACTATTTCAGTCATAACCGGTATATTTTCATCTTTTATGATTAATAAGTTAACAACTTTTTTCAAATTTTTTTAAATATAGTTTTTTGTTTACGTTACTCTTGTGTACATAGTTTTGAAAATTTTCGCAAAACCTTGGCTTGAGTTTCTTTGTTTAAAATCTTAATGATCATGGTACCATATCACACCTTTATTTTTTATAACCTTTTTGTTTTTCTTCCACAGATTCATTGCTCAGAATATAATTATTCTCGTCTAGTTGTGACTGGTCGATTGCCTGAAGTTGGCTTTCTTGGTCGTACACCTGCTTCAGAAGTGCATGGTGTACTAATGGTACCAGAAGGTGATGCGTCAGATGGTCGACCATACATTGTACACAATGATCCAAGACCTCTGAAAATTCCTTTTGCCATTGCTCCTGGTTTAAAGGTTAGATCAATCAGACAATTTTCTTCCTTACTTAATATCAAATAATTAAGTAGTTTAAGTTCAAATAAATTAAAAAAAACTCCCTGTGCCGTACACATTGTAGTCTTGAATAAATACATCTTCACTGATATGAAAACTAGTGTATAAATTAAAAATATTAGAAATGAGAATTGATTACTTAATTTAAGTGCCAATTTTGAAGATTGATGTTGAATGTCAGTAGGAGGAAAGTTCATATCTCTCAGCTTTTATATACAGTAATAGGGATTCATGTTGAGAATGGTATGTAGTCACTTGCTGTGCTACTTATAATATCAACTTAACTACTCTACTCGTTACATATTCGATAAGCCACACAGATTTCAACATTCCCAAATCTTAAATGAGAACAACCGAAGCCACATATAATTTCACCTTTTTGTTAATAACAAAACTACACTGTATCATAACGTTTCAATTTTAGTTCATAATTAAAACATTTTTGATACAAAGGTGTTTATTATATCCAGAGCATCTTGTCAACAGTCTTCAGCCATACAGTGATGTAATAGTAGAGTAATATGTGCTTGCATTTTGGATGAAGTATGTTGACCACCAAATGATCAGTAATGTACTCGATCCCATCTACTTCATGACTTACTGAAACTCGAAGGAGGTTTACGGATTTATGAATTTGACGGTATGTGAAAGACACGGATTATATTCAGTGTAGTTATGTTTATGATCTTTGATTCAACTTTGTCGAGAGGCTGATTATATTACAAATTTCCACTAAAGTGGTTAGCAATGTTTTGCGTGATTTATAATTCGGATTAAAGTACAGTTTCTTTAAGCATCTTAACTTGTTACGGCATTTAAGTAGTATGACCTAATTTTCTTGTATGCTTTCATGGATGCTGTAAGTTCCAATTTAGAACTATTGATTTGATAAAACATATCTCTTGCATATGTGAGACTATTTCTCGATATGAATATCGTATCAGGGTTCTCAGGATTACCTGTATACTAAAATCAATATAAGCTGGTCGTAATTAACCAAACTTGTGGGGTTTTAGCGCGGAATCGAAACTTCTGTAAATTTTCTATGGAGGCAGTAAAATTTTATGTTATACCAATATCAGCTAAATTTATTCTTACTATTATTTTTGTAGCTATGCCACCAATTAAAATCGTTTGATCGACCAGGTCATCAAATGGCAGATTGTGATAGTTATGCATTGCTTCAAATGAAACCAAACCATCATAGTAGTATTACACATCCAAAGCCATTCAAATCTCAGGCTAATGCCTATTATAACGTTCGTCTACCTGTACAAGCATTTTACTACTTGACTATTTATGCTTTTAATGAAAATGATATTGTCAAAGATCATCTAGACTGTGTGTATCGTATTTTAATTGATGCACGTAACTGTCGTTCTTCTGAGTTAATTCAGGCTTATCCGCGTCAAACATTTTGGTGGGTTCAGTGTCGATTAATTGAACCTAAACATCAGCATTTATTCATTAATCGAAATTATAAATTCTGTCTAGACGCTCCTCAATGTGATTCTGTAGCTGTTGTAATCAATGGATCAGAATGGCACTTCCTTACTCCATCTTCACCAATATCACCATCTAAACTCCATTCACCATCTGGCAGTAATCATCATGGTCGTTGGAGTGGTAAAGTTTATACTGGCAAATGCTTGGGACAGTTATCTGTGTTTGGACGTATACCTCATATTAATAAATTTAAGGAGATAAGTTTAGAAAATGAATGCAGAATAATTAATGATTCCATGCATGGGGGTTATAATGGTAATGACCATGCAAATAATACTGGTACTACTACTACTAATAATAATAACAATGAAGATGATGAAGAAAATTCCTATATTAAACTTTTAGATTATATTCTCGTTCAAAAAGAATTGTTTAGCTAACAGTTTGTTTAAGTTTACTAATAATTATCTTTACAGTTTATAACATCTAATCAAACTGAACACTTCCATTTTCTGTGGATATTACTTTTTTTATTACCAATTATATTCTTCAGAGTAGCTCAACTGTTCATACTACGTGTTTCAAAGTATAGTAGTTAGTAATAATCATATTTATTATGTAATAGTTGAATATATTTTGTGATTTCCTTACTTCCACTATTTATTTTCTGTTTATTTAAATGTCTTGAAGAAGAAATAATTAAAATTATGCTCTCACAATTATTCTTCCACTTATATGTGATAAAATTTATTAGTTGTTTTTTTATTTATTAACATTATTTACTGTTATTTTGTTATCGACTAGCTATTTTGCGTGTATTTAGTAGTTTTACGTCAGTTTTATTCCTATTGGAAAGAGATACATATTAAAGTATAATATGCAAGAAGAGAGAGAAGGAGAATAACAAAAAAATTGTTGACTTTTGATTGTATTAATTACGCTTCATTATTTCTTTTTGTTTGTGAGAAAATTTATTCCACTAACTGACTAAAGTATGATGGAGATTTTTTCCCATTTCTAGTTAATTAGTTTGGTTTCCCAGTCGATTGATTTCCTTCTTTAGTGGTTAGTAAAAATATTGCATTAAACAATAAAAATCACTTGTTTTCTTTTGATTGACACATAATCTGAACTTCAATCGACTCTCAATGAGTATGCACAATATAGCAGTTATCTAGAGGAAATGTTTTTCTTCTGCTAAATTATCAATAATAATGCTGATAAAGAGAATCCAGCGAAGAAAATTTTGATTTCTACGAAACCATTTACATAAGTTGTACACTCGTATTTATAATTATATGGGAAATATATCTATGGAAGGATAGAAATGATTGCATCATAAATTGATTCCAGACTCTTATTACCAGATGAGGTTACACAAGAAATTTTTCTACGCTGAGTTCTCTTTATTTTTATTCAATGACAGAATGGGTTATTTTAATAATGCTGTTAATTTAATATTTTACTTTGATTCGATTGTATTTTCTTTTTATTGAATATAATATGATATTATTAATAATGATAATAAAAGGGCTACCGTAATTCTTTACGCACACTCAAAAAGAGAGACATTTATTCTTTCGGAAAAGTTTTCTGACTCTCAGTTGATTATTTCTAATTTATTCACTAGATTCTATGCATATTCATTTTAACTGTGTGCATAGCTAACATGTAATTAGTTTTTTTGTTAATTGTTTTCCTCTTGCCTTATTATTGATTATGTAGTTTTAAAGCAATAAATAATGCGACGGATAACTTTCAGTCTCCGACTTTTATTAAAGTTTGTTGATATAAAGTGAAAGAAAATACTGGAATTTATATATTTGGTTGTTTTCCCTTCTTTTCTCATCACTTATGTTTGTGTATTGTGTATGATACGATATATTTGTGCTTACTTGATTAGCTTGACTGTTTTCATATTGTTTACCTATGTTTGAATATATAATGTATACGGAGGGCAATAACATACTTTTGTTAAGCAGATGCTGTCATCTAAAGGCGCGCGAATACTGTTGGTATTTATTTGTTTTTCTAGAGCGTTTGCTAATTTAAAAAACACTTTGTCGTTTGATATTCAATGGTTAAATATGACTAGTGGTGAACAATTCAGAAGTAATAACTTTGACTGCTACATTGAGTGATGCGAGACCGTATCCCATAAGAAGCATCTGTTTTGTCTAGATCGTACATATGGTTTTCCTATGAGCTCCAACTTCCATGAAACTAGATTCCAACCATCATTCATGAAGAGTTCTGTATGCACGGTTAAAAAGATATGTGAATCTTAATAGCTGTTGTCTAAAAACCAGATTAATGGAGTACCATTTACAATTATAATATTCAAAAAATCGTCACTACAGAATTAAACTTATCAGAAACTTTCAATTAACTTCAGAGTTTGGTTAAAACATCATAGAAACCAGGCTTAGTACTTTCATGATAAGTGAGGAGGGAGAATAGGAAAGTTTCTTAACTCTCAGTTTTGTCAAGGAGACGAAAGTTGTTTAAATTCATGTGCCAAATTTTGATCGAATAGCGTGTCCATATTCGGAAAAAACTAAAAAATCTGCTTTTACGCACAAATCGATCGTTCAATACACTTCAAAAGTTTTCGTTAGCATATGTAGATTGACTGGTCCTTGATAGATTTATAATTGGCATTTTAAAATAGAGCTGATCATAAATTCAGTATTTCTTAGGGACAGTCTTGCCAATCTTAAACTAATTCAGAAAATTCTATGTTTATCGATTTTGTAAAGTTTAACTTTTACAAAGCTTTCAACCGAGTATGAATAATCACTAAGGATGTAAAAATTAGCAACTGAATCTGTTAATTTATCTGCATACCATTAGCTAAGGTTCTCGAATTCCTTTGGCTATATATGTTGTTTTAACTTCTGTATACATATTTAAAAGACGGCCTTTTTTGTACAATTTACCGACTTAGTTTTATAAATCGCTAGTCCCCCATCACATTTTTATTTTGATCGTTGATTTGTCATCCTTTGTCTAGGATACTTAGCATTGGATAGGATTTCAAGTACTATTGTGGCTTTCAATGTGGAGGTACTTATTAAGGAAATTTTATGTTTACTGAAGTCGAATAAATGTACTGAACATCATTTTTGAGCTAAGAAAGTAATTACACTTACCAGAATAAAAAATTCTATTATCGGTTGCTGGATTAAACCATCTTAGTAGTAAAAACCTCTGAAACAAGGGTCACTGCACTTTTTCAGTCTATCAATTTATCCGTTTTCCATCTTCATGTCCCAGCGATTCGGCATCTAATGTAACATGTCTAGTTTTTTATAATCTAATTGATTAGTTGACTGGAAAACAATGATGCATACTATTTCTCTGGAAGTAGTCTATAATATAGATGAAAAAATAAGTGTGATTTAACTAAGATTATTTATTTCATACTCTAGTGTATATAGTTCATTGTCATAATTGTTTTATAGCCATTATCTAAACATCCCAGACATGCAATTCAAAATCAATCAGGATTTCGCTAAAAATTATAACCGGTATCGTCAAAAGGAGGAATACGAGAAACTAAAGGCTAAACACGGTGATGCTAAACTGAAGGATATTAAACTATCAAAGTTAGCTGATACTAATTTCAAAGTGGACGAAAATGTAACCATTGCTTCAGTTTCAGATAATGATGATGAATCTACTTCAAGTTCCTCAGACACTGATGATAGTTGGGAAGAAAAACAACAAGATGATTTTTTGACTCTATATCAAGCATTGTGTACAAATGATCCATCTCTTAATGATCCCAATAAACAATGGTTTCGTGAACCTAGTGAATCGGATGATGAAAGTTCAAAGTCCTCAGATGAAATTTCCGAGTCAGAAATTAATAAAAATAACAATAAACAAATGCAAATAGATGCCAAGACAGAAAAGAAACGTGTTTTGAAACTTCGGGATTATGAACGCGAATTTCTTTTGGCTCAAGATGGATTAGAGGATGAAAGTGTTTCAAAGGAGGCTCAGAAGATTGCTCAGATGGAAAGTGATGACGTTTTGAGAAAAATGAAAACACAGTCGATAGATTTGTCAAAGGAACAATTTATACAGTAAGTGTTAGTAGGCTTTATGAAAGATTCAGAAATTTAGTTATATTAGGATTAACAATTGCATGAGAGTCTAAGAAGAGTTATTATCATCTTCCAAGGACGTTAGATACTATTAGAAGTTTTAGAGTTTAGTGTGATGCTGTGTCTTGTATCATTCTTTCGTATTTCTGATTAATAAAGAATAGATATTTGGTTTTCTAATCATGTAGAGCTCAGAAACCACAAACCAATTTTTTTAGTCTGAATGCAAGTTTATGGACTATAGCTTTACTCACAGGCTTTTGAACATGTATATACCGCTATCCGACCAAAGATAAATTACTTATATGCCAGTTAACCGAGAGATCTTATGGTTATTTCGTCTTTTAAAAACACAGTATTGCACTTCAGACTACTCAGTGACCGGTCAGTATTAAACAAAATATAAAAAAATAAGACTTAGTTAAAGAAGTCTTTTTCCGTCAATTTCTAGTTGACATACTTCAAAAAGTAATAGTTTTTTAGTTTCTGGAAAATTTATCAACTGCCTGATATTTTATTGTCATTTTAAAGCAAATAGCGGCGTCCTGTTTGGGGTATATTCCGAAAAATCCGTGGATTTCTGAACATATTGAGTGGAAGTGTATGATTTGGTTATGTTTGAAGGACCTACGTAGTCTGTAATGTCGATGTTAGACTCGAACTAATCCTTGAGAGATGTGTTACATATGCCACTCACTTTATACCCAAGAGTACTACAGCAGCTGATATAGCGACGGTTTGGTAAAAGGTTGAGTGTTAAGATTGTCCTATCAGGTCAATGATACTGGATCTGAGCCGTATAGGTTTCGTAGTTGGAGTTTACGAAATTATTGCAATCTAAGAATAAAGACCAGGTAATGTAACGTAGACTCATTTGTAGTTACGCACATCGATACTAATTCTTTGAACTGTGTTTTATACCTTTCATTCTTCGTTTTTTCCCCATGTCCTTATTCTTTTGTTCTACTGTAATAGGTATTATCATTTTGGATCCATTGTTTTAGGTTTTTTGAAGGTTAGAAACTTAATTTATTGCACTATCTTTAAATTAATTGCATGTCAAAAACTAAATTATTCTCAAACCTTTTTTATACATCGTATACTTTTAGGGCAAATCAGTATATAATTTTTCTGTCCTGTTGTGTAAGTGACTATTGGTGAGACTAAACGCTGTTATCATACGCTATTTCCAACTTCAACCACTCTAAGCATTTATATTGAATTAATATTTTTGAACATTACTGAATCTAATAAGTGATGCTGTAATATACTAGCCTATTTCAAGCTAGTTGTAACCTTCTCCAGTTCGACCAAATTTGTATCTCCTGTGTCAATATTCTTATTAAGTTAGTGAGTGCTTGATAACTGACACGTTTTGAAACGATTTCACTATATGCCTTGGCTTCGATTTTGACTGTAGGTCGCTTTTTCAGTCACTCAGTAAGCGGTTTTTCAACAACGTTTCTTGCATTTTGAAGTACGTTTTATTTATTATTGTAGAGAGGCCAATGAAGCACTTAATCAGGCGGCTGTAATTTCAGGTGAAATGAAGGACAATAGGACCAGTGAGAGTAATAATGATGACTTAAACTTTTTACGGAAGCGCAAAAGTGAAATAGAACCACCTACTCCAAACAGAAAAAAGCGTAAATCCCATTATGTGAGTTTGATTAGTTATATTATTTGAAAAATCTCGTTTTTATCAATACAGGAAGATAGTCGCTTCACTACCACTGCTCGAGCCGTAGTTATCGAGTGACTATTGCATATTAGCAATCCGATGGTCAACTATTTTCATACCAAAATACTTCTCATCTTTGTTCTATGTTAGTCAGTAACAACGTGCTTTCAGTTATTGAATTCAATAAAGGGTTAAATCTCCTGTTTTTTTATTTTGCTTAACAATCATTGAAAGTGTTGAATACACTTCATCTGTTTAATGTCATTTTGACATTCTTATTTACATAAAATCCCGATTTGTGGATTCCTCGATTTTGTGTTTTTTATATATAATAGATTTCTATTTTCGTCATTAAAGTGAAATATGTTTTCATTAACCAAGAATACTTTAGATTGTTTTTCCTTATGTTTTTGCGTCTAAAACTATAAAGTCATATTGGGATTGTTCAGCTGTATTCTCTTTTTGTTTCATTTTTGTGATGAGGTTAGACATCTTCATTTTCGAAGCCTCGCAATATCCTTATTCACGAATTAGTAGAGGTCCAACATGCACTTTTATTATCTATATGACCACTAACTTCCTATACCTTCATGCTAACAAATATTTTTGCGGTGATTCACCTCCTGGGCCTATCGTTTCAAAAATATGGAAGCCGTGTATTCGGCTACTGAGTTGTGATAAACAGTTCTGGTTCCGTTGATGTTAATTTCTTATTACTGTATTGACCAACACCTAAAATGTTGATTCTTTGTAAATATGTTGAAATGTTAACTTTGAGTATATTTTTTTGTTATCCAGTTGGCAACGCTAGAGTAGTATGTCATGGACATCCAATGCAATATATATGTACTATCTTGTTTACTTACTTTATACCAATAGTCAAGATTTGTGTAACTGATATTGATTTTCGGTTCCTGATGTATAAGTAGCACTTTTTTCTTACTTATCATCAGCTGATTGGAACTGAAAAGCACAAAAGAAATGTTATTGGTGACCAGACCATTTTAGATACCTAACATTTTAATGAGATCTTAGTATAACAAGTATTAGGGATTTCTCGCTCGGTATAAACTTTCTTACTTCACAAAGATCAAATTAAAGTAGAATTGAATTTGGAAGTTTATATGGACAGTAATAATTATAGGTCGTGCCAAACCGAAGATTTATTGAATTGATTTTTTGTGCCCATATCTGACTCTAATTTGACATTAATGTACCCCATACTTAATTTCGTAATTAACGATTGACATATCCCGTTAATACCCAACTGAATCAAAAATCCAAAATATAGCGAAAACATATTTGTTTCATTCGTTATACTTTAGGTAGACAATCATGTCAGCGAAGACTGTGCAGATGCGCCATTAAGTTAGGACACCAGCCGACTTATCCTAATTTTTCCGATGTATAAAATAGACTATATAAAATACAACGAGCAGATACACAACCAGTTAGATTATATGTACAAACGCAAACATATCCTCTAAGGTAACGCGCGAATATCCAGCAAGGACAAATATTACTGTACAGAATATCCGGAAAGAGAATAATTTATCTTTCCAGAAACTAGAATCAATCGCGTGGGTGTGAAACTGTCTCAAGAGTTGACGTCAAAGGATTTCTAGAACTACAGTGTAATGACCGAATATGACTCACAAATCAAAGATTGTTGGTGAATCTCACCGTCTATAACAATGTACGGGTTTGTTTTGGGGCTTAGATATTGATCATTTGGTCGGTCAATAACGCCTCACGTCTTTCAAGGTACTATCCCTTTCAGCGGCTTCTTTGGTTGCTTCAAAAATAGCCAGTAATCCAGGAACGTTTTCCATTAATACACTGTAAACTTCGGCTTCCTTTGCCATGACTACAACCAATATGTCTTCCTCTGATTTTATATGGAAGCCGATTAATATTACCAAGGCATTTACTTGTCCAAACTTACTCGTCGACCGGTACTTAATTTCAAAGTCCTAGCCCAACAGCGTAGATGCCTCTCGTTATTGGCGGTGTGTAAACTGGAATGTCCTTCTTACATCCGTGGTCTGTTAATAACGTGAACTGCTGACCAAACATTTTGTGGAACCTTTTCACGATGAAAGTAATATGTAGAGCTCCCGTCCCTATTTGACTATAGTTCCTCTCTGTCACTGTCAACGATCTTGGGAGATGAGCAATAACTTTTTCAGATCTATTAGGATAGTCATGTGAAATGGCTGCTCATATTCCGTAGTTGGAAGCATCGAGAGCGACCGCAGTTGATAGGGCTGGATTGTAATGTGTAGGCGAAACATCTGACGATAGAAGCTGTTTTATTCTCTTGATGGCTTCTTGACATTCCACCAATTTCATCTACTATTCTTTGTCAGTAAGTAACGTAGTGGTGCTCGTGGGTGATGGAGGTTTGAAAGTTAACAGTATCATAGGGGACAAAAACGGAAGAAGACCTGATCCTGAAAATATCGAGGCTATTAATATTATGCTTAATCCGTCCGACGTACCCGCATTGTGATCCTTCTTGAGGATGGTCACCCATTATGATGCTGCTTCCTCCCGGACCTCCATCACCTGCGTGGACCACTCTTGAGTGTACTAGTGATTAAGTTTTATCTGTTGTAGACACTGACAAGATGTAATTTTTTTCTTGAATCGTAAAATTCTAGAAATATTTGAAATGGGTTTTCAAAATTTGGGTTTAAAATAACGCTTGCTATGGGAATAGAGTTAGACACTTCAGCACGTTGATCACTTTATTCTTTCCGGAAGTTTCTTCATCAACATAGGTCAGTGGCTAAAAAACGTTGACACCAATGCAGACAGATGGTTTAGAATTTTCATATTTTCTCTATTTATAGTATCAATAAGATACTAATAAGTTGATTGTTTTCTGTTTATTTGCTTCCTTTTTTTCAATCTCTGGTTTATTTTGTATTTTATGTTACGAAACTTCTTAGTTTGTTGTTAAGACCAATGCACCACTGCACGCGTTTCTATACTTTTATGTCCTGCTTTCACTCAACTTTGGCTGCTGGATGGCTTTACTAGCCCTCATATAAATGATGCAGCTTGAAGCTGAGTACATGAACATATACTTTGTAAATAAACTTGTCTATTCGCCATTCTCCATTTTCTTGTCAAACTCTGCACCTACTTTAATACTATGAGTTTATCCTGATTAACTTTATTTGGTTGCGAATCCATAGTATTTAAAGGTTGTTAACATATGTAGCTTGCTAATAATTATTCAGAAATACCTTCGAAGCATTCATCGCGTGCGGTGGAATTACCGTGTAACTAGCTCTGAGACCGATTGTAGGTTACTAGATAGAGGTATTAACTCGACTAAAGTATATACCTAGATATGTTTAAATCTTTTGGGTGGGTTCTGGTAGACAGTCGTAATATAATTAACTGTTTACCTACCAGTTCTTAATGAATAGACTGGTAATCCAGTTTTAAATATCTCAGTTTGTTATTTTAATCTATTTCCAGGATTTAGATAAAATAGTTTTTACTGATTCAACTAACAAAGAAGCTGAAGAGTTTTTACGTGATTATATTATAAATAAACGTTGGATTGAACCTAATTCACAACGAAGTAATAAAATTCCAACTTATTCTGATGTTCTACACGAATCCGGCTTAGATATAAATGGGGATAAACGGAAAAATCTTTTAAATGATGATGATATTCTTGATGAAGACGATGAATTCCTTGTTAAATTAAATAACTTAGAACAGGGACGTTTGCACTCTTTAGGTGTTAATGTAAGTTTTACAGAAATATTATTTATAATTTATGATAGTAATAATTATCATTGCTTTTATTTCCTACAATCTTTATCCATCAATACTAAAAGTTTTATATCTATTTAGAAAACGTGAATCATGATGATGGCTTGCTAACTGCCCATTACTTGGATACACGAGAAATACGAATTTTATGCGGTAGATTTTGATACCGTATTCTTGAATTAACCGGTCTTTGGCTTATGTAATATTTATTTATACTATAATAATTATAACGATTGGCGTGAGGATAGTTATATCCAAAACTTGATCCCATGTTTAGATTTAAAGTTCTTGAAAGGATCACCTTTACCATCTTACTAAGCAGAGTCTGTTATACATTATGTATAAAAGGAATCATCAAACCGATATTTTCAAAATGACTATTTTTATTCATCAAAACGTGCATTATTTTATGGGAAGAGAAAATTTCAATTTCTCAACTTTTCCCCTTTATATCGTTAATCAGGTCACAGTGTTAACATGGTAACAGCCTTTCAATATGATAAGGTAATCATGACATAGTTTATCAGTTAATTATCTTATTTAAGTCTTATATTGTTTTCTATGGATAGGATGACAAGTAATTGTAACACGGCCAAGGTCATTCAGTTAAATTTCTTTTTAGGCTATTATTTCGGGACACTTTTTAAAGGTTCAATTAGATAATTGGATAGCTATTATCTTAGTCGTTCCAATATTTTTATATTTAAGTAGTTAGTCGAAGATAAAATAAGTTGAAAGTCTATATATTTTACAGCTTACCCTGAAGATATTGGCTATCATTGATTATAAAAATTTTAGTTATCTTGTTTTTTTCTTCACTTCATTACTGTATTAATAACGAAATAATGCTTTAATTGAGTGAGACTTGTTTACAGTGTCACAATAACTGAATCATTTCTTCATTTATGTGAGAATAATAAGTGAACCTATAAGCCTGTGGTTTAACAAACATTTAATCCAATCATTATTAATTTCGATTGGTGGCTAACAGTGGGACTCAGGGCACTCCTTTAGGTGAAGATCTCAGGTACTTTATAGTGTTGAGGAAGATTCCACAATGTCAACTGCTTTCTCATAATTAAGAAATCTAATTTATAGTAATGATTTCCACGCGATTGACTGTTAAATAATGATTCGGATTGTCTCTGGTTGGTACATAGTCGATCTTTAAAAAATCCAGGTTATTGATCTCGAAGTTGGACGTCTAGTGAATCTTATTTTTTGTTCAGTAACACTGTCAAAAAGTTTGGTTGGCACTGAAACTTGTGTAATTCTTTTGTAGTTCTCACACTTCTTTCTTGAGTATCTTTATGAAGTATCACTCTTTCCAGTCTGTTGGTACCAGTAGATATTGTAAGACCTAGAACTTGGTGCTTGTACTCAGTGTTGTCCATCCCAACCGTGGTATCCAGGTCGTCCATCAGAATGACCAGATCTTTTCCTGGTCATCTACCCAGGATGGACTGCAGCCTCATGAAACTGGTCTTTATAGTCTTCTCTGTAATCACTAGTGAGTACATAGCATTGTATGATATCGATTGTAATCCCTTTCTTCTTCTTTCCTTGAGGATGTTTTGATAATTCTAGAGCCGTCAGTCTTCTATTATTTGAGTGCTTATGGTGCCTTTCTTGGAGAAAATCGGTGCAAGTGGTTGTGTGTGGGAAATTTTTTTAACCAGAATACAGTCACAGCTCTTCTTAACCTAATTTTTTCTATCCAGATTGTATTTAATGTTTCTTACTTTTTGTAGGCGGCACGAAGCTGTATGTTCTCATTTGTGAGTTTATTTAAATGACCCTCTGGTCCTTCCACACTTTTCGGACACTACTTAGCTATATTACTTGTTGTTTCGGTTGTAAGAAGCTCCATCAACCTTGTGACCTCCGAGGACTCTCGGTTTTCACTATTTGTAATACTTCTATATGAAAACCCTTCGACTCCCCGAGGTGAGTGTGATTAGCGTTCTCTGGTCATTGACTTTGTGGCGGGGTTCATTTTTACGGATTTTGTGAGGTTGATAACCTCATACTCAACCTTTTTCTATTACCCGAGCTTTGGATATACATTAGCTTCAGAATAGCTCCAGTGAGAATTCATTTCCATAATAATAACAATAATAATATAATGACGTGTGTTTGTGAATTTAATCACATTTATAATGATAATAATCGTAACTTTATTGCTAATAATCTTCGCATCGTTGTTTTTTTTGCTGTTCACTACAGACGGGTGTTACAAAACTACATAAAACTGAGCATCGTTTTGAAGAAGAAGATAAAGAATTTGTAAGATGGTATTTTTGTTGAATTCATTATGTTTATGTATAGAGTCATTTCAGTCATTTCTTCTGCAAATCAACTAGCTGAAATTCACTTACAGTGGTTCTGTACAGTTTACTGTTTTAATAAATGATCATGGTTTGTCCACATTCAAATATAATATGAATTAAACACATAATAATCCATTTGCGATTCAGAAATAATTAAGCCCTTGATTTGTGTAAGTTAAAGGATTACTTATATCAAAAGATAAAACGTGCTGTGTTTAAGTTATTCCAGAAAAGCTGTCCAAATAATTAGATTGCATTTGGTTTCTGATATTCAACTGTTTTTGAACACTTAATTTAGAGTGTGTCATTCTTGTGAAGCAGACAAAACGTTGAACTTTTAATCATTTATTTGACTTTTCGAATCTGGCTTCATTTGATGCGTTTGGTCTGTCGAGATGCATGAAAACGTTAGCAAACTGAGAGATCGTGCTGACCTATTATGTAAGATTTTAAGGAGGTTGATTTGTTTTCTAGTGAGATTATCGTAGATATTAGCTGACGCTTGGGGATGTAAGGTAGTTTCGTGGGACGAGATGATTTTGCTAGCATGGATTCACTACCCTAGTTTCTCTCACTATTAAAAAAACAGTGATGATCCATATTACCACTATTCTCAGCTCTTCGTTTCTTAATAATATAATAAGTTATATATATCTGTTAAACTCGGATATTTTTATTTTTAAATATATCTATTCACAGATAAAATCCTACCCTCGAGTTATAGAAAATAGTATTGGTCAAACGCTCTGTGTTAAATCGAAACGAGCTGAACGAAGACAAGCTAAGATTGAACGTAAGAGAAAAGAAAAACAAGCTAAACTTCAAGAATTAACTCGCCTACGGAATCTAAAATTAAGTATGCTAGCTGAAAAAATTGAAAGAATTAAACGTACTTGTGGTCCAGGATCATTATTACTTGATGCTAATGAACTGATTGAATCACAGACTAAAGAATATGATAGTAATGATAATAATAAATTGAAAAATTCGACCAAGGTAGATGTCCTAGATGTTGCTGAATATTTAGATGAAGATTGGGATCCTGAAAAGCATGAAAAGTTATTGGACTCAATGTTTGGAAAACATTATGAAGAAATAGATGAAGAGATAAAAAAGCCAGAGTTTTCGGATGATAGTGATCTAGAAGTGGAGCCTTCCGTAGATGATGGGCACGATTCACACATGAAACAAGTAAGATCCATAAATTTGTTTTTATTGTTTTTTGTCTTGTTACCGTCTTCCACTACTAAGAATATTTTGGACACATTATTTCACTTGACTGGCCTCAAATTAGATCTAGAATTGGAAGCAAAAGTAAATGCATCCCCAAAATCTGAACAACTAACGATAGTATAATAAGAACAGTGTATATATAAAATTTACACAGCAATATGCAAGTATCATTTCAGTTCATCTGCTCTAGGTTATTCATTGAAAATGGACAAATTGGTATTCTCCAATTAGATCTTGTTACAAACATGCACTATTCAAGACTCCATCCTTCTAACAGATCTTTATTTCACTATATAGTAATTATTCTCTTTAATATAATGAAAATTTACATTTCATTTCTCATAAATCTTTCAAAGTATTCATTACAGCTCTATCTTCATACTTGCATAAAGTCAAACGTTTTGGTTTACCGACTAAATGTTTGGTTCTTTTGATTCTATCATTTGTGCGCAATACTGTATACCTTTGGCAGTTTGCGCGTACAAACAAAACCTGAGATCTAGCATAAATTCGGCTCACTTAGTTGAATCGATTTTCATAATTATTGATTCACTTAATAATATGACTACTCTATAGTCTAAATGCCTTGTATTCATTCTCAACTTGGTAACTAGGGAGCTTCATTTTATGCTATTAGACAATATAACGAAACTGTTGGCCCGATTATCTTCTGCTTGTCAATCGTATTTTAAATTGACATTTCCACCTTTTCACAATAAATTATTTCCTTTTGTTTTTATATGAGATCAGCATGAATCAGAAACATCTATTAATAATGATTCTGGAGACAATGTACCACTAAAACACTCGAGCAATTTGAATTCTAACTACAAACTATCTACTGCAAATAATAATAAGTCAATGCGTGGAAAACGGAGACTTTATGAAGCATTAGAGAGAAGTAAACCAATTTTCGATCCTGATGATTATCCAGACTATGAGGTAAGTGATGTCACTAAGTACACGTTAGACAGTATGGACATTAATACGTCTGATTTAACTGTTCTATTTATACAAACAGATAAACTCCAAAATGTTGTTGCTTTGGTTCGAGTTATAGTGTGGCTGAAGTGCTAGCGTATCACTATCAATCAGTCAGTCAGCTACAACGTAGGATCAGGCACATATGTGCATCGGTTCAAGTTGCCATACCTCATTAGCACAACAAAATGAACACCGAATTCATAAAGTAGTTAATTCAGTGGTGGTAATATATAAAAGAAAGATTGCATATAAGGATATAATACAGGAAGAAAAGATTAGTTCGTAGAAAGAAAGATATGAAGCGATTTTAATCTCATGGTTTAAAGGAAGACAAAGAGTGTGTACACCTGTGCCATGGTGATCGATTTTGAGCCATGTCACCCAGAGTCTCCAATCATTGGTTACGATAGTCACGCGGATCCCAACCAAGTAGTCTGCATCTACCAACATGGCTAAGACTAGAAGTTGGTGACTTCATGGACTGATGTCACGTTTTGGTTTGACCGCCCCTAACTTTCTTTCAACTATCCCCAACACTAGTCAGCATTACGCGTGGTGGTAATCGGTGTTCAGGCATACGTAACACGTGGCCCAACCATCTCAGTCGATGAAGATTTACTATACTAGAATTAAAATTTATGGTTAGCTTCCAGTTATTTATTATTAGCCCATCAACTATATATGTTCTGTAATAATGTAATTATTAAATATTAGTAGTAACCTTAATATGTGTCATGTTTTAAAAAGTGAATCCGTGCAATATCACTTGTTTAGCATACTGAATTCAACTATCTTAAATGCAGATTGAAATCTGTGTTTTAAGATAGTATTAAATTGTCAAAAATGCTCATAATTATTGTTCATATAAGATAATTTTGTGACATCACCACTGATGAACTGTTCGGTTGTTTGTGTCATTATAATGTGTTCCTATAATTAGTCAATAAGAATATTTTCTATTACAACCATGATGAATACAATCTGTGATTCAGAATAAATATAAACGAAAAAAACTATGATTTTCTATAATATTTGATAATAACTTCATTATTATCTCTTCTAAATGTTTTGCGAATACAAAGGATACATTACACGGCGTCTTATATTTCTCACTATTTTATTCCATCCTCAAGTCTCTAGTTTAGACTGTTTATTTAATTTCTTTCCATGTTTATGAATAATGTGCATACTTTCCATTGTTCTGTTATATTTCGTGTTGTGTTGCACATGAGAAAGTAATATTAAGTATTAAAAGTACATGTGATATGGATATGGATATTGTATTACAACTTTCTATTTCATGTTTATATTTGCAACAATTAATGTATGCATTTTTTCAGACCAAGATAATTTATGTTTGATGTTTATATACAATAGATATGTGATTATTAAAGTTAACAGTAACCTAGATTCCGACCAAAATTAACCTATAGACCGTCAGATTTCTAACTTAAAATGAAACAATATTTTTCCAACGAGTGTAATCTTTTGCGACAATATGAGTATATGCTACCTTTGAACATAGGCTGCAACACTTGATAATTAACATTCAGGTGATGTCGTCTGAGTGCTTTACAGTTTGAACTAGAATTCAACCATTAATGACTGAGTTTCAATCACAGTATTCGTCTATATATATGACCCAAGGGGTGTTTGTTTGGTTATTAATTGGAACTTCTCGGACATGTTTCGATTTTTCATATGTCCTATGGTTACACTAAATCAACAGAGCCATCAAAGCTGATTCTGTCTGAGATAATTTTGTTTGCTCAGTTGCCCTCTCCATTAGTTTATTGTAAATCGATGTGATTCTCACTGTTTAAGACGATGGTATTGAAACAATTAAAAGAGTTTTAAATTATAAAAACCTGGTACCTTCTATCCTGATCTTACCTTGACTTGAGTAACTTTGGGTCGCGCACTCTGTGCGATCGTGGTTATTAACTTTTCATGTTGTTATTCGTAGTTACACTATTGTCTCAAATCATAAAATTCATTCAGCGGTCAACGCACATTATCATAATGGCGGCCTTATCATCGTCTGTGTTAACTAATAATCAGTATCTCAATAATCGATCGTGTCCTGTGTTCCACTGATAGAAGGATCCTGTTTATGCTGTATAATCTAGTCAGTAGTCAGTAAGCTACTTGATCAATGTTTTCGGTCTGCGTTTTGCTCACTTTGAAGCGTTTACTTGATTGTCATATTAATCGTCATCATCACTGTTGGCTTATAAATATTTGTGATTATTTAGTAATAGAGTAGTGAATGTCATATTAATTAAAAATCTGTTGGTTATCTTCTACAATTTAAGGAGTTGTCTGTGGTTCTGTCGTCAAATCAGTTTCGATAATTAGATTTCAGGTTCAAATATCACTTTATCTGTCTCATTTAACACAATCTCTATTGCTTATACAATGGATACCTGAGTTAGAGACTTGTAGTTAGTTCTCACTTAACGATGGATTGTTGTAATTCTAAAAGTAACAAGCTAAGCCAACAAGAATCAAATACACTGAATAACCATGTTCAATTTATCATTAGGGTGATACTGTGATGTAACTTTGATCAATTTTGTCATGTGGTCATTGTTGTAATTGTTGTTTCCCTTAATAACAAATATGTTTAAATCTCGCAATCTATAGAAATATTTGAAGAATTTTATCAGTTACATTGTGAAGATATTATACCCGGTCCTACTTCCAATGAAGACGTTTACTGTCGTTTCAAATATCGTAATGTTATGCCAAATGATTTTGGCTTAAGTACAGAAGAAATACTAAAAGCTGATCCTAAAGAATTGAATGCATGGGTATCATTAAAACGTATCACAGCTTATTTGTAAGTGTTGTTTATTGTTACTTGTATGTAATATTCTTACAAATTCATTTTATCTATCTAGAAAATAAAATTACTTAGTTCGAAAATAGGGAAAAATAATTGTTTAAATCCACTTCCTTTACTTATTTGTTACTTCAGGAGAATGGAAAATGGTGTCGAACTGAAATTTCAGAATTGCATCATCATCTGTAACCTTTAAAACCTGACTTTTTAGAATCGTCATTACTCTTCGATTACTCTATACACTACTTGAGATGAGCGGTTCATTTACAAGATGTTGTTAGTTTATATCGAACCTATAATATAATTAAAATTGGATTGTTATTTATATTTATCTTTCACATCTCTATTCAAGCACAGTATTCTGGTTCAAGTTTCTTGAAATTATATCTGTCGATAAATGCTCTTCTACTTTGTATAACTGTTCAGATGCATATCATGTAGGACACTCAGTTGAACTACTCAATTTACTGAGATGTATACGTTATTCTCCATTAAATTAAGAGTTATTATCTTTTGAGAAATTCGTTGTTGAAAATCCGTAAATATGTTGTTTGACGTTTTCCCTTTATATTATGCAATCTGTTTGATAGGTCACATGAAGAAGAAATGAAAGACCAAGAACTATATAGTTCTAATTATCAAATGAAACGTAAAATGAGTGTTTTAGGTTCATTAAATAATCCAAACGCTACTTGGTATCCTAATGAAAATCAAGATATTGAAAGGTTAGCTAATTATTGTGTTTATGTGTTTGTGACTATAAATTATTTCCTAACATTTTGCACTAGTATCATGTAACTCAATATCATCACGTATATAATTTCAGCTTGTTGAAAAGAATTACTGAGAGTCTAAAAAGATAAAATGTATAGGGAATCAGCCGTTTAGTAATAATTAATAACAATGATAATAATCATTAAAGAGGAAGAATGTATTTGTAAAATCTCAGCGAATATAAATATCCGATTATTTTGTCGTTTGATTATATTTTCCTTGAAAAAGCTTGGACCAGATTGCCAGACGAAACCTTGGATTTACTTCAAATTCTTTCGCTGAGATTTTACAAATACATTCTTCCTCTTTCATGTCACACATTAACTCGGCGCTCAAATATTGTGAAACTATTCGTTCAAATTTAGACGGAAGTTCTTATTAATTAATGATAATAATCCTTTATATAACCACTACTGTATACCACTTGATCTCGTTTCCTCTTTCTGCCATGGAATACATTTTTTTGTATTTACTCTGTCACTGTGATGTTTCGCTATTCCAATAAAAAGAATGCTTTTCTAAGAAGGCATAAATACTTAAATATGATAAATAAATGTCCTTATTGAGTGATGCCAAACACGTGAGCACTGCGTACCTTAGTTTCCCCATAAAAGAACAACTGAATTATTCCTTATTATTAGTTTTGAGTTTTTCAGCAGTGTTCATCCATGAAATCTCCAAATCAAAATAAGGTTTATTAAGTTCCACAGGTAACAAGATTTTGTTTACTAGGTAAGCCGTTATCCATTATTCCACAATATAATTTGTAATAAAACTTGGAGTTTTGATATTTAGGAGTGTATATTAACAAGTTTTGTGTGAAGATTGGTTTTGTTTTCAAATTTTACAATAAAATGGTATCTGAGCTTTTATTCATGAAGAAATTGGAGCTTACTTTTTTGAGTTCACTTTTCTTACATTTCCATCGTAAGCTCAGGATTGTTTTTATGATTGTACGTTCGTTGTTATCGCATATATATATGTAGGAAAGGTTTTTCAAAATTTATTGGTTTGAAGTTAATTTGTATCACGAATAAATATTTATTTCACTAGTATGTTAGACTATTTAGCTATATTTCCCTTTTAATCTCATACTTCGACTTAAGGACTTCATACTTTTTGGGCAAGTGAAACCGACTTCCTATCGTAATAAGTTTATGGTAGGTGAATAGTGGCCGAGAAATGGAACATTCGACCTACGAAGTCAGTCTAACGTTAAATGACAGCAGATGTTCATCTGTAACATAAGATTACGATCACGTTTTTTGACCTTTAATACACTGTATCTTATTAGGATCCGCGTCTAGTGGTTAAAGTTGTGAGACGTTAGGACTAGGAATTAGAATTAGGGGTTTTATCACGAACTGACATCAACTATAATTCTAAAACGATATTTAGCCAAATAGATGAATGAATTTTGCGCCGAAATCTGATTGGTTCGTCCGTTAATTATGGTCTCGCTAAATATCTGATACGCATCCTAGTCGATCCTCAGATAAAATTCACCAATCAGAACGTCCTGTGCTTTGACCAATTACACGGACTGAAAACAACTAACCTCAAGCACTCACACATTGTCCAGGATGCACTTTTCAAGTTCGGGCAAGAGAATACAGTAGCAGACAAACCTTCCACTAGTCAGTGTAACTCTGGCACTCATGAGTTTTCATAAATGCATAGTCAGACCATAATAACTGCAATTAGAAAAATATAGCTTATGCACGATCTATTTACAAATGATCAAGAATGGAATAAGGAATGGATAATGAGTTGGCAGTAATTAAGGAACTGTTAAAGGTAGTCTTTGAGTCCAACTGAAGCTTACAATACGGAGAGTATGGGAATTTTATAATCCTGTTACTCAATAATTATACAATAGATATACACATAATGGTTGTAAAATATTTCCAACAGTTAGCACCTTCTGAGAATATTCGTCCTACCATAGCAATCCACTATTCCTTGATTCTTAGTACCTTTCTTAACTATTAGTACGACGCCAAACTTTTGCATATAATACAACATAAATACTTTTGAATTGTGTCATTTGTAAATTAGAAAGGTCAGAATAATTCGTTGTAAGTGTCAAGTTGTATTCAGTATAAAAATAATAAAACAAATCGTGTTCTCACACAACGAATCAATGAGATTGCAGATTATGGGCTACTCCATGTGTCTGTCAGTTTAATATGTAATTTAGCGACCTTTAGTATCTTTTAATTGATCTTCTTAGTTGATGTGTCAAAGTATCACCCGATATATCCCCTTTAAAACAAAGTTTTGGCAAAAGAGTTTTCTTGATGACTATGTTGGAGTTTGCCCTATTTTTACATTCCGATTCATATTTTTTGACGAAACTGTATTGGTAGCCGTTATTTTGTAGTGTATTTTTTAGTATATCTACATTATTTTCAAAACATAATAGTCTGAATCTATGGCTGAAACATGCGACCAGATTTATTCCTTATTGAAAGCTATAAAGCAATGAAAATAAGTATACTGACCAGTCTGTATATCTGTTATGATTGACGGTGTCCGAAATCTGATACTGATACACGATGTGTTACGCGCTAACCCCCCCCCAACTGACTACTTGAGCAAAAACACAATAATGGATGGGAAAGTATATTGGGTGGGTTACCTAACAAAATGCACAAATACTCATTTATATATATACAACTCTGAACCTTTGGAAATCAATCAATTTCTTAGCCTATGAAACACCTAGGTCCGTCAGATCACTGCTGGTTGCCATTGATTGACCTTCTCACTAGGCTACTTCTGATGAGTCCACTCTATCAGTATCCTTTCTAAATGAATTTCTTCTTATGCAATCGTCTATCTTTCTAGAAAGGATAATACTAAGGAAAGCTATACTGTTATCATACTCCTTTTCGCTAGTAAATTTGATAGTTGGGTGAATTTTCTTGATATTGTTCAACAGCTATTGTTTATTAATACTGTAGTCACGCACGGTTAGCTTGTCATCTATATATCGACAGTAATAACCTAGCCTATTCGGATGTCTTCCCTCATTTTCTACTGTCTAGAAAAATATTAGCGAACATCGGACCCTGGGAAGATCCCATTACTACTCCATATATTTGTCTATATAATTTTTTATTAAGCATGAAGCAGATATCCCTTGCTCATCTCAGCAAGAGCTCCTTCATTTTATTCCCTGCTATTGGTAACTTGAATTTGTCCACATATGTAGTTAGTGGTTTCTGTCAGTGGAATATTTGTGGGCAAAGATAAAATAGTTTTATCTTTTATCCTATCTTCTACTACGTATACAAAGTTAACTACATCCTAAACTATGTACCTAACCAAGTGTTGGTGTTGTGATTCTAATACGTTCACCAACCATTTTGCTGTTAAATGTTGTTGTGATTTTGAGATATCTAGAATCGGGTCTAAAGGAACCACTGGTTCATGAAACTTAAGTTTGTCATAGAACAGAAAAGTATGTATTCCAGAAGGTCGTAGTTCGTCATATGTTTACTGAAAAAGTATTGTTGTTGTTTTAGGTGTTTTAATCCTGTAGTTAGTTGGTGACCGATCTTTTTATTGAGGTTCTCACACGATCCAAGTTTTTGGAGTTTGGTCTGATCATTCAGAAGAATATTCATCTATATATAATCAGTGTTGCTTAGAATTACGGTGCTTTATCCGTTATTTGACTTAGTGACTTATTTCTCGTTCGATCTACAGTAGCGTAAACGTTGGATATAAGCTTGTAATCCATAAAACAAGAGAAAATATTCGTTCGTTGTCTTTGAAGTTACTGACTAGTCCTTATTTGTGATTTGTTTTCTTGCGAATACTTTTGATATGAGAAGCTCTAATTCTTATATGGGGTCCGAAAAATGTATTATTCTCAACCATTTATGACTTCCGTATTTCCATAACTTAAATAAAATCAGTACATATTAGTAACTTTTCGATGGACTTCATATGCAGCTGTTTTATATGAAATCAGTTCTTGAATTTACGTGAAAATACTATTTTACCTTATGATTTTTTTTATAACACTGTCATGCCAATGTTTCAAGTAGTCGTTTTTGTAAGTTTTCATTTAAATTGCTTTCTTATGCAATAAAACTGATAAAACTTTGTGATTTTATGCGGGGTTTCACAAAACATTAATGTAACATAATCCTTTTGTTTTTATTTACCAATATAATTCAGTAGTGGTGGGTCATCGAAAAAAAAGCGCAGACGTCATAAAAAGAAAAAACGATTCTATTCAGAGGCTCAAGCAGTCAAACTCAGTGATAACGACAACAATAATAGCAACAATGTTAATCCAAGAGAACAAAATGAAAACGATACCGAAAATTCAGAAAAACGGGTGAAATTAGGAAAAACGAAAAAGAAGTATGTTAAAGACGCAAACAAATTAGACACAAAGAATATCTTTAAGTCCCGTCTTCAAGCGGCTGGTATAACCTTGAAAGAATATCATCGTACAATGCGGCGAGAAAACAATTGTAAACCTGAATGCGTCAATAAATAGAATATCTCTTGGTTTGAAAATGGTTATCTTCAACTTAACCAATTTTGTATTCCGTGGCCTTAAATGGGAATCTATGTATGCGTCGTACTTCGTTGTTGCGAAGTTGAAACATTCTATAACTGATATACTTCGCAATAATACAGTCAAAAAAGTAGAACTGTAGGTTGATATAAACGAGAACAGAGAGTTTATGAATATAATGTCGTCACGAGGATATCAGCTTTTAGATCACATCTGAGAATGTTACTTTAATACAGAAAGTGGCTACTAGCAATAACTTGTTGAAATGGAATGTTGGTACAAGGATAACGAAATTTTTTTCATCCACTGAGAAGACGGTTTTCATACTCAGAATGAATGTGACTCAGCATCCAGTGATGGCAGTTCGTGAACCAGTTGGTGAACCTGGTAGTGTCAAGGAAAATTCGTCATTCTCACGGGATATATGCTTGTTTACAGTTCTGGACAATAATTCTCGTCTAGGTATTATAGTCAGGCAGATAAGTGGTTGCAAGCGTTTTCAGCAGTTAGGTTGAGGATTTGTCCTGAAGTCGACCACCCATATAAGGCGTTTTTATACAAGTATTTTGTGCCTTGTTAGGATCTGTATTTAGGGACGGTTCATGTCATTAAAATTACTCCAGATCAGAGCACACCTGAAAGACTTTTTCGCAAGTGACCACAAATAATAAGGGTTCTTAACCTTCCAGAAATGTAGGTCTAAGTATTGTTTCTCTATCGACAACATTTCCAAAATCACTGAGAATCATACTATAGGTCGGTTTATAGCTTAGATAACAGATTCTCACATACTTGCTGAAGCACCTTGACTTCGAAAAATTTTATTTATCCCATTAAGTTGGGGTATTTAGGTTTAGGTGTTACAAACCCGATTGACAGCCATTAGGCCGGTCATAATATTAAGGCTAGTAGTGTGGTTATTATGCTTTAAAATTTCCAGGGCAATCTAGTTTCTGGGGACAGTAGTGAAGCCTACAGCGACGCCAGACAGAACCTCCGCATAGTTGGGAGGCTCAATGGTCCATCAATTCAGCGCTTCAATTGAAGTTGTTACATATAATCCGTGTAGAATGATTGAGAGCCTACTCAAATTATGCAGGAACAGTGTGAGCAACCAGCTAACACCGAAGTCACACCTCGTGGTTAGTGCCTAACGTAGAACACCCTTTCATCGTATTCAGGTACAATAGCTACTTTGATGACCGTGCAACATAAACAACGTTATTCAAGAAATGTAATAGTAAGAGTAGGTGGGAGGAATAGTGTGGCCGTCGCTGCATGGCCCAGTCAATAAGGTGCGAACAACTAGTGCCCGTCGGTTGTCCTCGACCTCGGCGTGAATCGGTGAAGTGCCTGACATTCAGTGACCTGAATCATGGATGAATTGGCTAGGGCTCAGTGATATCTTTTGGCTCCACAACTCTGTTCGAACTCTTTATATTTATTATTGACCACGCCTTTGAAAATAGCGTGTAGGTGCTATGTCAGACAAATTTATTATAACCTCACTAATATATGCTTGAGACTTGCTGTACTCTTCCTGAAACTGAATGCCATGGTTTGGTTGATAACAGAAGAGACGATCGTAAAGTAATACCTAAAGTAATCGCCCTGAGTATCTGAATAGGCAAAATAAAAATGAAAGATTATTTTCAATGAAGATGTTTCTACTGTCCATTATGGTGAGTAGTTCTATATTTCAGTGAATCTTGCCACGAAATCCTGCACTTATGTCGAGCTAGCTCGTCCTTATTCTAGCTTAAGTGGGTATACGTTTAAGTGTAACTTAGTACTAAAACGTGATGGTGGTCCGTTGGCATAAGAACGGCTGTAAGCTACATGATATATCAGGTTTCTTTTCCAAGTTGTCCTACTATGCTGCACAGTTTGCGAGTTAAGAGCCCCCAGGATAGCTTAACGCTTTTTGCATCTCACATACTTTCTTGATTTCCTTAATTTCAATGAGATCCAGAAGAATGATACTTCTCATTAGATAATTGTGTATGGAGTGTGAATTTACCAAACTGTATTTTATATGAATACTGAATGCAGTTACAAATAATTGTAGGGTTAGGCTGCCTACTATTTAAGAAAGAAATTGCAGTGCCAATAATCGTTTGTGATGTGTAGTGCCAGTATGAAGACAATATGATGTGATTCTCTGTGAAGAATTGTGTGATTCTTAAATCGCCCACGCAATGTGAGATGCACAGAACATCATTTATATTTACTCTATTTTTGCGCTAATTGTTGCATTAGTGCTTTTAAAAGTGATATTCGAGCAAAGATACTAAGAAACTAAATGAGACTGTATTCACTATATATATACATCTTTCATAGTACTCCTTGTACCAATGGGTTAGATTCAGCATTTCTGTTGAAAACTAGCATGAAATTGAGTGTGGAACAAATGGTTCGAATGGTTGTGGACGGAATAGAAGAAGCTTTCGCTTAACAGGTTTCTGTGTCTAGTAGCAGGGGATCACCAAGTCCTCCAGGCAGGAACCTAGGTATGTTAACAGTAAAAGAGGAAAAGAAATAAGTAAATCACAGTGTGATACTATCCTTAGTCCTTAAGAATAGATCAAGTTGCCTCTTAAAGGATTCCTGGGAAGTCACTTGGACTAGCTCAACCGGCAGCGAATTCCAGCATTTGACAACTCTTAAGGAGTTGAAGTTGTGTCTACAGTCCGTTCTGCTATATTGTGTCTCCAGTTTTTAGGTGTTACCTCTTAGGTTAGTGTTGGAACTAAGCTTGAGTAGGTGTTTGAGAGGATGTCCAGAAGTGTTAAGGATACTGTAAGCCATCAGAAGGTCACCTCGAAGACGTCTATACTACAATCGGTAAAGGTTAAGTGAATGGACGCGCTCTTCGTAAGGTTTAAATTTGAGTCCTCGAACTGATTTCGTGGCTCACCCTTGGATACGCTCCAGGGTGTCCTTATCCTTTTGGAATGAGGTAGGAACTACTATGTTTCCTTACTCTAAATGGGGACGGATAAAACTATTGAAGATTATATGGAAAGTTCTTCCGTCAAATTGTCCAAAAATGCGCTTCAATGTTACCAGTGCAATGTTTGCTCGAAAGGTATTTTTGTCACAGTTAGCATAAGACTTCAAATCGTAGGGCACCAGGAATCTTAAATCTTTTTCGACTTGAGATACTACCAGAGAGGAGTTTCCTAAGTTATAACTGTAGTCTGCGACATGTCGCAGATGGACAACTTTACACTTTGAAGTGTTAAAGGCAAGTCCGTTATCGTCTGCCCAACTTTGAAGTCGAGTCAGATCCTCCTGAAGTGCCTGTATATGATCTTGGTTGCGTATCTCTCTCCAAAGTTTTACGTCGTCGGCAAAAGTAGTAAGTCTGACGTTACCTGTTGAAGAAGATCATATATGTAGATCAAGAAGAGAAGAGGTCCTAGTACTGAGCCCTGGGGGACTCCACTAGGACATTCCATAGCCTGAGATAAAGTAAAATTAACCCTGACCTCAAAATGTCGATTTTTCTGGTATGACGTGAGCCAATCGATTAGAGGTGGTCTGATACCCACTCGTTTGAACTTATTGATAAGACATGTATGGTTAACCATATCAAAATCTTTTGAGAAATCTAGGTAGACGATATCAACCTTCCCCTTATCATCAAGGATGCTTGTCCATCTGTCCACCGCAGTCAGCAGGTTGGTAACACAAGAGTAACCCTTCCTGAAACCACGCTGTTGGGCAAGAAGAAATTTGAGGACGGTAAATAGTCATTTTGAAGGTATTGAGAAAGGAGCCACCGGTCGGTAACTTGAAGTTCGCTGCGTCGACCTCCATTGAAAATGGGTGTGATGTGAGCCAGCCTCCAATTTTCCGGTAGTTTTCCTCGAATTAGCGAGTGTGAGAACATCACGCTAAGCGGCGTTGCCAAGATTGAGGCTTCTTCCCTCAGTATGGCGAAATGGACCATGTCCGGGCCAGGAGAAGTGTCTAGTCTTAAGTGCTGAAGTTTCCGGAACACCAAGTCAGAGCTTAGGTTCACTTCGGAAAGTCCTGTGGAATTGCAAACGAAACTGTCATCAGTAAAGTTGACATCGGTCGGTTGAAATGTCTGGGAGTAATGTTCAGCCAGAAGGTTAGCGGCGTCGCCATCGTTGTTGGTCGGGCCGTTAAGACCTACCAGTTGAGAAACTCCAGTTTTGGCTTGACGAAGAGAGGCTGCATAACGGAATAAGCTTTAGGATTAGAGGCAAATTTGTCCATAAGCTTTGTCTGGTACTGAAGCCTATCTTCTCTTATAGCCTTCGTGCATATGTTCCTGATATTTTTGTATTGCCTGTACGCTCCGTCGTTGTCAGTTCGTTTGTATTCCGCCCAACAGTGCCTTTTGCGGCTTAGCAGGCGAAGGGTACGGTTCTTGATTATTGTAGGTGGCTTGCAGCTTTTGGGAACCGTTTGAGGAACTGAATGGTTTGTAGCACGTAAGAGCGTGTGCAGTAAGAAGTCCCAATGACCGTCCACATCGAGTTGAGGGTGAACATCCCAAACCACCTGTTGTAGATAGTCGTGTAGAGCTGGCACATTCAACCGTTTAAAATTCCAACGCAAGTTATTGGTGGGGTATCTTAGCTTAGTTTTGCTGACAAAACTGAAGGCTATGACGGCATGATCGCTTTTTCCCAAGGGAGCCAGGATTGAGAGGTTGTCAACTAGAAATTCTTCGTTTGTGAATACACAGTCTAAGCGCGATGGTGTCTGACTGTTTCTCCAACGAGTTGCCGACCTCACATTTTCGTATAATCCCAAGTCATCGATGAGGTTGAAGAACCGAGCTTCAATTGAGTTGTCGCCTCCAGTATACGTGTGTTCCGCGAAGTTGACTCTAGGGAGATTAAAGTCCCCTAGAATCAGGATGTGTGTGAAACCGAGACGAGTAGAGCGGGATAGTCCTTCCAGCATACGACTATCGTACTCGATGTCGGCAGTTGGCTTCCTGTAAATGACTCCGACTAGACACCTCGAAGTACTAGACAATCTT